TTTGGTTTTTTAACTTCTCAGCTCTACCTCTTTAGTCAAGCATTGTGCTTCTGAAGTGACACTTCAGCCAGCTTCTGCTTAAAGAGGTCAATAACATCTTGGGTGTAATTGGTTTAAAGTGCCAGAACTGACAACCTCTAAATTCTCTTTCTTAAAACTGCTGATCCTACTATTGCTAAGTCTATTGCTAACATGTTTAATATGTTTCTTTTCTTTTTGGTAAGTAGTTTCTTTGGAGAAATGCATTGGAATTTGTCACCTGTGTTAGAATGGAGCTGTTCAAATTATTAGGGTTTTTTCTGTTCTACCCCTACCCTCCAATCAGGATTCCCTTTCAGGCAAGGGAGATTCCATCAATGAAAACACCAAAGTCATCTCTGCCATCTATAATTGTATTCTCATAGTTCTAGCTCTGGTTACACAAAAATGAATCTGGAAAACTGCCATTGGAAAAAAGCTGGGTCTGGCTCTGTGCCTCATGCCTTTTCCATTTCCATTATTTGCTCTTAAAAGAGCTCTCCTATGCTACTTTGCGTCTAGCAAGTTCAGCAAAGGAGCGAAATATCGGGCAGTCAGTGCTAAGCCAGCTGAGGAGGGCTGCAGAGTGACTGGGCGGCTGCTGCTCTGGCCTCTGGTCCCTGCTGTCATCCCCAGGGAGAAGGAGCCTGTGCCAGCACACGCTGCCCCCACAGCTGTACAGTACCAGTCTGGCCATAGGTTCCTCAATGTCCGGCTCAGCTGTGGCTGCAGAGGGAGCAAATGAAACACCACATCTGATTCTACAACTCTTTAATCTTGAAAATCTGCTCAGGCAGTGCCAGCAAGAGTGCTGTCTTTCAAATACAGAGGCACTCCTTGCAGAAAGGGAGTGGCTGGAAACACTGCTGCCCCCCAGGCTTGTCTTCACCAGAAAATTGTGAAACCTCTTTCCTCAGCTCCCCGCCACCTCCCAGCTTGTTTCACAAACCCTGCTCTGCAAGGGCTTCCTCTGCCTCTGCACAGGTCCCTCATTGCTGCCACAGGAACTCTGCAGCCTTCCTGAAGTCTCCCCATCATCTTCACCCTTCTCCAGTGCTTCCCGACAGATGCTTGGTACCCAGCTGTGCTCTCTTACTGGTCCTTCTCCTGGCTGTCGAGGGAGCCAGGATCATCTTCTGTGAGGGGGAGTGTAGGGGCGACAGGAGGTGAGAGAACACAGGAGCAGGCCAATTGTGGCATGTAAAACCACCAAACAGGGGGTAGCATGGTAGCAGGAGAGAGGGAAACCTCGGGGGACTTCTAGAGGTTGTGGCATGGCAGAAGTGCAGGAGCCCACCATAACCAGCCTTGTGGAAAGATAACGTGAGAGGGTGATGCTGGGGGAAACAGCAGCAGGGAGTTCAGTAATAAGCAGATGTTAACTCAAGGTGAGGCACTGCTAATAATCCTTGAGGGGATTTCCACTTCAGGCAAGGTACCTCATCCAACATTTGCCTTGACAGAGATGTAAGAAGGTCTGAGAAAGAGCCTCAGGAACATTGTTCCCTTCAGTCCTTAGAAAGTCTGCATAATATTCTGAAAAGTCACCTTAATCCAGTCAGCATTAATGCTGGAGAGACAGCAAGCCAGCTCTTCCCAGTACAGCAAAAGCAGAAGTAATGATGCAATGCACATTCTGTTCCTCTACATGTTAGTCATTCCTTGCCACACATTTCTAAACTGTAAATGGTCTTCTAAGACAGTGATGGTACTACTGAGCACAACACAGCTTGGGAGCCAGGTCTCGGGCTGTGCTAGCTCCACCAAAAAGAAGCCAGCCCTGCTCACTTGCACTGGCAAATATCAATACATTGATTTAAGCTGCCTGCTGTGTCCACACTGTGAGTAATTAATGCAGCTGGAGAAATTCCTGCTCCTTCTGAATACCAGCCATAGCCTGTCAGAGACAGGCTGCTTCTGGGAACACAGAGATGCCAAGTGGACAAACACCAGCTATTGCAAGCACACAGGCTGCATTGCACTAGGTGTGTAACAAGATACTATCTTCATCAACTAGGAAAAGTGCAGCAGACCTTTTGTATTTCAGCATTGGTTTAAAATCTGTAGCAAGTCATCACTGTAAAATGGTGAACTCCCTAACTTGGTAATAGTCCCTTCTGAATCTGGGAGAAAAAGAGATATCTCCCCTGTCCACACCAGTAACAAAGATATTTTACAGCAGTTCTGATTAAAAATGGTAATAAAACCTGCATCCCTTCACCCCTCTTCTGCCCAAACTGCTCCTGGCAGCTGTTACATCCTCAACAGGTCCTATCTCTGAGAGAAAACCATGGTAGAAAGAAGCTTACGGAAGGGATAGTCCTAAATAACTCTCTATTGCTTCAGCCTGTGAAGGAACAGTAGAAGGGGAATGAGCTGAACCTCAGGGTGCTCCATTGAACCCACCAGTGGTGGGAGATCCCAAGCTGCTCCTGCCCTACAGCAGCTTCTCCAAGGTGAAAACCCAGCAACATGCCTGGCTGGAGTCAGTGCTGCAGCACTTTGTTTATTTCAATTTTAAGTGCTTAGCTTTTTGCCTTCATCTGAACACAGCAATCAGAACATTTCATGTTCATGTGCTTTTTTTGCATTCAGCACAAAGCCCAGCCTGCACTTTATATCCCTTCTTCTTCCCTCCCACCGCTTTTTGGTATGGATAAGAAATCAGAGCCAGCGGAGGGGTTAAATTCAAATTCAGGACCCCCACGTTGCAACAAATCTGATGACCGCCTTTTTCCTCTTTTCTCCCCACCACCAAGGATTTTCCTCATCACGCTGCACACCCAGACTTCCTGGAGGCACACATGGGTAGTGTTCACCTGCCACAGTGATGGGCTTGGACTCTTGGGGGCACAGTCACACTACATATAAACAACAAAACTCCTAGCTGATATAATCGTGTCATTAGCAGTAATACGTTCTGGAAAAAATTCCTAAGGAAGCTGCTAGCGTATGCTGGTGGTGGTTATAAACTATCCTTCTGAGATCAGTTTCTTGACAGCTGGTCAAAATACCAACCAAACAGTAAACTGAATTATTCATTACAATTTTCTGTGCCTTCTTAAGCAACCTTAGCCGTATTAAAATAGCCATATTATTAGGAAGTATTGTGAGGGCAGAATTCAAACTCTTCTCTCCAACACACACTCCCCAGACACTAGAACTCCATCAGCATATTGATAAGCTTGTGTCAAGAAATGACGTGACCCCTGGCTAAAAATTAGTTATTTAACAGAGCTACTAAAAAATTGGGATCTCTCTCTCTTTAAACGTTTGACCCTGAGGCAGAAGAGAAGGGGAGGGAGGGAGAAGGAGGGAGATGATAATCACATTAGATAACAACCTGACTCATGGTAATAGAAGCCTCATTGCTATCCAAGTGCTTTTAGAAGGAAACAGCCACACCTAGAGAGGCACCTGTGCAGAGGAAGATTAGTTTTAAATGGAGGAAGGACAGAGATAAAAATGCACTTTCAGCTGAGCACAGTGGAATAGTTGTTTGTTTATACAGAAACTGTCTTAAATCCAAAAGCCATTCTGTACTACTTCAGATAATGGGATGTGGCTGGTATGTAATTCATGCGAGAAGCAGGTACGCTGCAGGGCTCAAAATGAAATGGGGATTTTTATTTAGGCAGGGAAAAGAAAATAACCATATGTGGGGAAGAAGTGGTTGATGCAGTCTTTCTGGAATAAATCAACTTCTGCAATGATAATGACCTTCCATGAATAAAATTCATAAATGTCAGTCTGACAGTACAAAATAAAACCTTCACTTGAATGTGGGTATGGCTGTAGTAAGTGATTTGCTTGGAAGAAAGCTGCACAAGAATTGGATGATTTGATTGATTAACCAAATATAAGCATCAAACATGCCTTCCATATGCAGGTGCCATGGTTTTGTACATTTAAGACTTCTCTTTCTTCTCCCCTGCTCTGTAGCCCATTGCTATAACCGCACTGTCCTCTGAGTACTAAGCCCCTCTTTCTTGTTGCAGCTCTTTGACACAGTAGCTATGGAGTGAGCCCAGTAAACCAGAGGACCTTTCCCTGCGGGTCTAGGCAGGCCTCCCAGCCCCTGATCTCCAGCTGCCCTTGCTGTTCCCTGTATTGGTTCTGAGTCAGGAGGTTGTGGTGAGTGGATGCTGCCTGCAAGTATAGCAACAACCCTACCACCTGGGGGGGGGGAATCAAGATCCGGACTTCTGAGTAACAGACGATAAAGTGACATTTTGTTTGCGCAGGACCTGGTCTGTGGAGTGGGTAGAGTTGAGTGTAAGAATCAATTATATTCTCTGATGAAGGTGCCAGCTCTTTCAGCAAGGGTATTGATTTATGTATTTCACCCTGAAAGTTGCTTTCTACTACATCTTTTGCTACTAAAATTCAGTGATGTGAATGTCAATAGGCATGAACAAAATCCCAGTGTTTTGAAAAGCCTGAATCTGTAGGACATAAAACTACAATATTTGATTGCTTTTTCTGTCCTCTGCAAGCCATTTCATAGATTCTAGTGTATCTTTTTATTCTGGAAGAATTTTGAGAGATTTGCTGGTAATGGATTTTGCATACAGAACACGTGTGTGCCTGTGCATTACCATGAATGGTATTTTCTCTTAAAAATAGCAATTTTTTTCTATTTTTAAAATTAATTTGATCACAGTCTAGAAATATCATATGCCAGAAATTATCTGTCTTGAATTGCTGAATAATAGTATTTGGGTAGGCTGCTATGGCAACAGATATACAGACTCTGGATTCACACATAAAAAGGTTATTATGGCAACTGATTTTTGGATACCCCTTCATTGCACTAGCAGGAAAATATACTGAGTTAACCCAGTAACCTCTGAAAAGACAGCAGCAATAGAATAAACTATTTTACATTTGTTCTGAAATATAGGTAAAGGCATGACTTACATTAACAAAAAAAAAAAAAAGAGAGTAAGAGCACAAAGGCCAGAACAACACTGTGGAATCAATAATGTGAAGGAAATATTAATATTTATGATAAATTAGTATTAACATTATACTTGGAAACCAATAACGGATTGGCATTGACAACATGTTCTACATGAGACAGACTGAAAGTAGGTAACCATCCTTGCCACAATTGCCACAAGGCTGCTCTTTTTATTTTCTTCTTTTGTAAGACTTAGTGAAATTTTGCAAAAAACAGCCACCCTGTTATAAATACATCAGGTTCAAATTATACACATGATACACAGCAATGATGCTAACAAAAGAAGTGGTTAGCTGAGCTGCTGAGCAGTCTGTTTCAGTTTTCCTTCTGCATTCAGAGGAAATGTTCACATTAACTAAATGGGCTTTGGAATAACCCTTACTTTTCAATGTGCAATTATCTTAAAGGACAATTCCTCCTTTTCCCCCTTTGCTATCATCACTATCCCCACACAACCACTCTGCAGCTACAGGTCTGTAAGTAGCTGGCAGAGGTGATGTCTGTCTGTGACTGCAGGTCATCAGCAACTGTTTTAATGGTTCAGTCCAGTGCAAACACGCAGGTACACATGCACGCTGTTTGGAAACAGTTTGTCTTTACAAAAAGGGCTGATAACTTTTGCACAGGAAGACACCAAGTAAACAATCAGGGTTAGTATAGAAGAAACCATAAAGTGCCTATCCCTTAATATCTTTAAGGATAAATTACAAAAGTTTTTGAGGGATGTCTTAAGTAAAGCCACTTGGGGCAGGGAGATGAACTAGATAACATCCTAAATTCTGTATTTGTGTGGCTCTGCCACCACTGGGCTTGTGCTTGTGTGGGTGCAAGCCTCCGCTGCACACAGACCCTGAGGTAGGATGGCAGACTCCAGACAGAGAAAAGTTGAAATAATATGTCAAGCATGTGGGGAGGAAGGAGAGTCATATGCTCTTACTCATTTTTCTACAAAACATTTTGAAAACATCTGAGGCTCACTGAAATAATCCTTTAAGGAAAAAACTATTTTTTAAAAAAAAGGCAAAAAACCAAAAAAGCCCAACCCAATAAATCACCTGCTCCACAATAGGGACTGCAGAGTACAGATATTTTCACTTATTTAATACATACTGAAAGGTTTAATTTAAATGGTAGATAGTAAATGCATTTTTAAGAAGCACAAAAATGTCTTAAAAAACTATAAATTGACCTTGCAGAACATAAAAGCTTTCTAACAGCAGACATGCAAATACTATGCATTAGTGTGGCTGTTACTGGGAAATATGCAGACTAGGTGTGCTAATTTCTGAGGATATTTTTCCACTGGCTATTTGTAAGAAGCGGCTAATGACAATGTCCTTGGCCTTGGTGGTCTCCATATTCCTCTCCCGTGATATCTGCGTGCTGATTTGATCTACATTAGCCATGATAAGTTCCGAGGCCAGGATGTGAGTGGGGGATGCCCTGTTTGCTGTGCTATCCATGATGTACTGCTTATAGAGTTCCACCAGCTTCTGTTCGAGGTAGTTGTTCAGGGCTGAGTCAGAGAGGGGCTGCTGGTGGGGCACTAAGCTCGCCAGCCGCCAGCATGAGGAATAGCCTTGGGCCGGCTTGCGAACGGTGTCACTGGTGGGGGGGGCCCTCATGGACTCCATGGGGGGAGGAATCTCTGAGGACTCCAAGAAGGGGCCGATGCCACTGTCACAGGTAAAATCTGTCGTCACTGAGCTCATCGGTACCACGTAGTCCCCAGCTATATGCAAATCGTTGTAGTTCTTACAAATGCTTTTGCAGGAAGGTGGAACCAGGTAGGTGTCTTTTTTTGTCAGCCCCTCACAGACATGCATAGATGAAGATGGCTGCTCCATGGTTGCAGGGTGCTGTGTAGGTTGTAGATTATCCTTCTGCCTCCTGCTACGCTTGCTACCTCTAGAGCAGACAGAGGAAATGCACTTGCCAGCATATCTGCATCTCTGAAGGAGGTTTTTTCCTTGTGCTTCATCCTTGGAAGAATAATTAATGGACTTCATTTCATAAACCACTTCCTCAGCCGAACTCTTGCTGTAGAGCTCACGATTCAGGTCTTCACAAGGGTAGGCAATTCTGTAAAGGTAACCTTCTGACAGCATCCTTCACCAAAGGTAAGGAGCCACCAGAAGACAGAAAAATTACAAGAAACCATTAGTTCATTACAAACACATTGAGTGGTGATTATACTGGAAAGTCTGATACTAGATTCAAAGAGATGTTTCCAATTTGGACGTGAACAAGAGTGTCCTTCTAAAAGACTTGAGGCAATGACTGATCAGCTAGTCTCCCTGTTGTGATGTGAATTCAATCACATCAAAACATATTCTGTACAACATAACATATGGCATGTCCAATACTTCCAACAACAGTGAGCAGAGAAGAGATGAACAAGAAGTGATTTGTTGTCATAATAATTGCTGTAATATCTTACACTTAAGTATCCATATTTTTGCCCTTAACTTCAGTAAGAAGTCAAAGGGGTTCGCCTTCTTCACATATACTTTGAAGCAACCTTTGTTTTGTGGTTTGTCAGCTGCCTTGATCTATGTTGATTTGGGATTCATATTGAGAATATCACCCCTTCTGTTCCAGACTAATCAATGATTGTGGTTCCTTTTTCATTAACAGGTGTCACATCATTAAATTAGCACTTCGCACTTCTCTATGCAAAGCAGATTGGAATTAATTGTCTCTAACTTTTAGACATGAAAATGTCAGTGGCAAAAGCAAGGCTTTTTGGAGGCACAATTCATCTGGCTTTTTTAAGACACCTATGAGATGAATTGTGGCCTAGATTTGCTTATCACTCTCCAGTTACTATAAAAGGATCTTAAACTGACTACCCTAGATGTAGAAATCTGCAGTGTACTTTTGAAGGGACATATTTCAGGGCAATGCATAGGAAAGTGCACATTTCAGAAGTACTCTGGCTCCTTCACTGTTGGATTAGTCATGAGTACCACCACCAGCTCTGAAATCAGTTTTTCACTGTGTTTCTACAAAGGCACAGTCAGGTTCCAGCAATCACTAACTCACTCCACAATATGAACAGGCAGCTTAGTCTCAAAAGCTGCACAGACATGTTAGTAATGAATGACAGGACTTGCTAGCAAGGACAAACATGCATCTGCACATCAGCAAATGTTCTGCCCAAGCTTTACAGCTCCACTATAACATAATTGTTCTTAAGCCCACTTCTGCCTTTTCTTTTAATAGATGCCAAGGAAATGGTCAGTGAAAAAGATGTCCCTAAAAAAAAGATATGGTGTGGTCTAGCAAAAAGAAAGTAAATGTTAAGTAAAAGTTAAAAGAAAAACTGTTCTTTTCTTTCTATAGTACAAAATGAGGAACAAATAACTTGTCTTTGTTTTAATAATGAGTACTTCTCTTCATTTATTATTTAATCCAATTATATAATTTTAATCCTTAACGTATACTGACTCTGCAGATATGAACATATGTTCCACTTATTTGACAGTTTGCCTATTTCACAACACACGCTGTGATGCAGCACCAGAATGGGAACATCTTCCCACAAACTGTGAATGGGGAGGTGTCATCTCTCTGGCACACACTGCACTACCCCATGCTGCTGTAGAATGTTCGACTGATCTTTTCCAAGAGTCAGTGGACTCTCATTTCTTAGCAAAGTATTTCATGTGTCACAGTTGGAAGTACAAAATGCTGCACTAATAACAAATGTTGGCTATATCCCATCCAAGCATGGATATAGACTTCATGCTGATGTTACGAAGGAGACAGCGTGAGAAAAGACTTTCCTCAGGAGGAAGGAGGAAATCACTTCCACATTATGAAGAGGGTTGGAGGGAAAATGGACTTCCTTCAGAAGGAAATACTCACAGAAAATTAAATGTGTCCAAACACTTGCTTTGGTGACCCTGGATCCTGCCTTCTGCTGCTAGTTGTGTGAGATTTCCCACAGGCAGGTAACATCTCATGAAAAGTGATCTATTTACACAACGAGGGGGGGAGTGGAAATCACTCTTGGGTCTTAGTATTCCTTGCAGTATGCTTCTGTTCCCTTGCTTTAGTTTTTAGCTGTAATATAGGTGCTACCACAGAAAGCTTAGCCAAATGCTAGAGCTACTCAGGTTATCAATGCACCCCACTTTCTCTTCTTCAGTTCCTCTCTTCTGCAGTGCAAAGGCTATTCCCTTCCCCCCAGTCATCTAGGGCCCAGATGGCCTGATTTCAAAGGCACTACGAAAGTTGGCAAGAATGAGTCTGGAATTCCTATACGGTTAATCCTATGCTTAATTTTAATGTGGATTCTGAGAAATAAATGGAACATACGGCCTGTTCACTGCTCAACCAACGTAGGCAAAGCCAATTGTGTGCAGGCAGCATGTGACACTTCTGTCTTTCCTACTACCCAGATGTTTGTTGTTTCTGTCATAAGGTGATACATTAGAGAAATGAAACCGATGGTTTCATTTCTTTGCACTGCCTTCTGCAATACTTATTTTAAGAGTTTCAGAGCATGATGTCTGAGACAGGAGTGGAAACAAAAGAACTGGAAAATTGAAAAGGATTAGGCTTCCATCCTGCTTAGGAGTTGTGTGTTTTGTTAAATGAGTTACAAGCTTACCCTTCGAAGCTGGCAAGGACTGTTGCACTAATCTGTTCCCAGCTCTGCAAGGAAATCTGATTGAAGTTTTGATAGGCAGTGCTGAGAGCCTGAATGCAAAAGAGACGTTCTGGTACTTAATATAACATATAACTGTGTCAAGTTGTCATTCCATCATTACCAGTTGCTCGTCACGCAATTGGGTCACCTTTAATTTTTGTATTTTATGTCTGATAAGGATGACAGTTTTCATTAATTCTACTTCTCGTGCCCCTTCTCTTAATCCCCCTTCAACGTCTCAGTCACATGTATGTACCAGGACTCCAAGTGCATGGGGATTTTATCTATTGTCTTTCAATATTTTGGGGTTTGTGCTCCTTAAATTCAGATTTCACTTCCCTCTTCATGAAAATTACTGAATTACTTTCCTTGCACAAGGAAAAACAGTCCCTTTTATAATTCTGATCTGATACATTTGCATGCAAGGTGAACAAAGAGATTCTTCCTTGTGTGGCTACTGTTCTGGCAATGGGAGCTCACTACATTCTGTTCAAGCCTGGTAGAGACAGTAAGAGAAGACTGTACAGTTCACACTCATTTCTATCTGACATAGTCTTTATTACTGTCAGATGATCTTAAAAACTCATGTCTTGCCTGGGGTTTTTGTTCGGTTCTTCAGTGTAAGAAAAGCCTAAATGCAGGATGAATGTTTAAAGCTTTGTGGAAAATTCAGTGGTATTGCCAGTATTTTCTGAGTGGCAGCAAGTCTGCTGGGTTATAATGCTTAGAGATGGTGACAGTGTTTGCATAAAGACCTCAGATTAGAGTCTGGGAGCAGGCAAACAGAATGTGAGTTCTTGGCTCAGGATAAGCAAAACAGTTAAGGAAAACCTGAGAAGTGTACACAAAGAGGTATGATAAATTGTGTCCTATATACAAACCTGAGCAAGATAAAAAGTTGCTAGGGAGAATGGAAAGAATGTGGTGCCAGCTGGGATCACAGCTCTGTAGAGAAAGGAACATTCTTTTGCATTGCAAAAAGAGGGGATAGAAACTCATATAAGAAACAAGCTTGCTTTGTGTACGTCTGGCTTTAAGATCCCTACTGAAAGCAAGGCTCTGAATGGCACTAAAGTTGCTCTGCTGGTGGTTAGAGATCAAGTTTTATCACAAGGTATACCTTAACTTCTAGCTGACTTACTAGATGGGCTTCTCAATGAGATTTTAGTTCCCGTGTCTCAGACTCAAATCCTGTGGAGCCATCTGTAGCATTTTTTCAACATTTTAAGAAATAATTTTCCAGTCTGTGGAGATACAGCAGATTCCCTCACTGTGGTTTGGGATCTATCTCAGGTTGCACGACATGCATGCAAGAGTTCACCTGGCAAGCAGGATGGGCTGGAGAGCAAGCCTGTGTATGCTTCAGTACCTTCCACTGCTGTGAAACAGCTCCCAGGAAGCCTCCGTGTATCCAGCGTAGGGAAATCAGGAGAGTGAAGAAGGTAGTATAATGACCTGTGCCTATGGATGAATATAGCCTTTCCTTAATGCCTGAAACCCGCTTGATCTTTGATATCTGAACCCCATCTGATAAGGGCTGTCTCTAGTGCCTGGGGCTGGCTTGGGTACAGGTAATGCTGATGACAGGAAACTGCGTGGTGAGGTGGATGCATCAGGAGGGAAAGCCATCTTACAGAGAGACCTGGACGCGATGGCAAAGTGTGTCAGGAAGAACTGTCTTTGTCAACAAAGACAAGCACAAGGTCCTGCACATGAGACAACATAACCAAATGCCCAGTACAGGCTAGAATCTGAAATGGCTATGGAGAAGCCTTGGTGAAAGGGACCTGGTGGAGTCACCAGTGCTGGAGGTTTTCCAGATGGACAGGGTGCTAGATAATCTCATATAGTTTCCCTTCCCCATGAAAGGTTGGACCAGATGATCTTTCAAGGTCCTTTTCAAACTGGGCTGTTCTATGATTCTATGATAAGCACAGTTGCTACTTGAGGTAGGTGTTGGCCCACTTTGTCCGTGGCAGAAGAGAAGAGGAATAGCTAAAAGGCACTTTTGCAGAAGCATCCAAATACTATATGCTACTTGTGTAACTTCCTCTCCCTGCTGCTGCTGCTCTGGAAGTTGTGGGACCTGTGAGACTGCACCGTGAAGTTCTTTCAGCAACAGTCAAGAATCAAAGCCCTCTTGCTCCCTCCCCACAGCGCTCTGCTCTGATCGTTCGGTCTTCTCACAGAAGAAAACACAAGCCCTGCTCTTCTTTATTCACATGTCAATAGTTCAAGAGATGAAGGAATGCTAGGAGTACCTCTCCCACAGGGGAATACGAGCTGACTTGGGGATAATAATTAGAGTAGGCTTGCGAGGATAATAATCCTGTATTTCAAGAGTATGTGGGAATGCCCTTGAAGGATAGGCTGAAGCAAGCGAGGAGAGGTATCTTCCCCAAGAACACATGATACTTTATATGTCTTCTGTACTGTTGAATGTTCCTGTTATACAAGTGTCTACCCATTTTTAATCATGCTAAATGGATGGCAGTGAGCTTTGGGAGCACCTGATTTCTTTCATTTAGGAAAAAAATACATTCTTATTGTATTGTTTGAGTATTGTTTTATATTTCAGTGGAGTTGGGGGCACAGGCTTCCATAAAAATACAATTAAGAGTGTATGTGGGTAAATACAGTTTCTTGAGCTCTCAAATAATTTCCCATCTAAGCCTGTTTTATCAGTTCAAGTTCCTTGAAACTTCATACAGAGCAAGCCTGGTTCATAATTTCTCACATTTTTCTTAGTCATCTAGACCCATACAAAGTTGGTTTAGGATATCATCCATCTCGTTTGCCAACATTTTACATCTCATATCCACAGCTGTAAGCAACAACATGAAATGTGAGGCAGGACAGAATTGGGCACTACATTCATAATCATAGAATCGTAGAATGGTTTGGGTTGGAAGGAACCTTAGAGATCATCTAGTTCCAATTCTCCTGCAATAGGTAGGGACACCTTCCACTACACTTTGCTCTCATGTCTTTCTGGGGTGGAAATAATCTCATGTTTTGGGATTTCTGTGTTTATTTTAATGAGTTGTTAGTTGTTATCATGACTGAACTATATGGACTGCAGTATTTTGTATCTAAGCAGTTGAAGTAAAGGGGAAATAAATTCATGTGCACTCTTACAGAAGAGAATACACTTTCTAGAAGTGAAAAGAATAAATGCTAAAGTAAGACAGATAGAAAAGGCTGAAGGGGTTTCCCAAGAGATCGAAGGGAAATGATGCACTAACGGACATTGAAACATTAGTCACATCTGCTATACAGTATAAAAACTAGGGGGAAGGGTGCATGTTGTATGTGTATACCCATGTCAAGCTCTGAATTAGAAGCAAATGAAAAAATTTGCTATGAATCAGGAAAATAAACTGATAACACTTGTTTATACCTTTTAATGTCATCTTGGTCTGAGAGAAGCCTAAGCTTTTTTCTATTAATTCTTTTTTAATACAATGCCCAAGTTTATCTGTTATGATGCCTTTTTTTATTTCTAATCTACAAATGGAGTACTCCCAATCAAGGACATTAGTTAGACAGTATACTAACATGCACAGAAAGACCAATTAAAATACTAGAACTATGATAAAAGCAACACACTTGGTAAGGCTCCCTTTTGAAAGTATCCTAAAAACCCCCCATTTCTTACTATGCTTTTATGAAAGGCTTTAGAAATACCAGAGGAACAATTTCTTGTTTGTATTTCAAAGTTGCATAGCAATCAGTCAGCCACGGTTGTGAAGAAGGCACTTTTTAAATGTTCCCATCACTCCTTAAGGCAGCAGAAACTGCATGTGGTCAGTGGATGAGATGCTCCAAACACACACATGCATACAAAACAGAAAAAGTACATCTCCATTTTACCAGCTGCTATCCCACACAAACAGAACTGAGCCACTTTGATAAGCAAGAGCAACACTTTCATGCATTTATATAATGCATAGCATATTTTAGTTCTTACCTCCAAAGATACAGCAGCAGACCAGGTACAGGAAATTTGTTGTCTTCTAACCAGTTTAAAGCTTCCTGTGAGTCTGTCCTACCCCAAAATGCAACACTCTGTTTTTATTTCCTTTTTAAATACACTTCTAAGATGACGTGTTTTATTTCTACTCCTCTATAGCACAGAAGTATAGAAAGAAAGTCCCTTAGGAGATGAGGGGTTTTTATAACTGACTGAACAGCAGCATGCTGAACTTGCTTCCTCTTTTATGTCTAAACGAAACTTTGTTGTGAAACCGTGTGCTGTTAAAATAGCTGATTGCAACACACTCAGTCGAGGACTTCTCTTTATTAACTGTTATTAAAAAACAAAAAAAAACTAGTGAATTGAACAGCTAGAACAATCTTAGAGAAACTGCTTATTTGTTGGCAACTTTATAGTGTATCCTGCTTCAACCACTACCTATCGTTTTCCTTTTAATTGACACCTCAAGACATCTAGATATGTCAAGATTGTCATGCCAAATAGGTAGGAAGACTGAGATGTCAAAGCAGAAATGCATATCCCAGCAGGCCTACTTTGTTGTCTGCAGACCCTCACATATCTCATCTTCCACCAAGCCATACAGCTCAGCTAGTTTATCAGGTTTTGCTTGGAATCTGCAAAACCTGTCATGAAGAAAGTTAGATTTGAGATGCTCTTGGTACCTCGGTGCCTGCCATCCCCACAAAGGCAGCTTGTCTTAGCAGGGGCAGTGTATGAAAATACCTTGGGCAAGGGGGAGTTCACCCTCCAAGCTTGAGGTGTACGGACAGCGAATAAGGATTTGAGATTGTTGTTAGAGTATTCCTTAAAGGGCATATTCCTTATGAGGCTTTGAGCAACCTGTTCTACTGGAAGGTGTCCCTGCCCATGGCAGGGGGGTTGGAACCAGATGATCTTTAAGGTCCTTTCCAACCCAACCGATTCTACGATTCTATGACAGAGGATAAGTACTGTTTAAAGGATGTAACTGGAGTGTCTGAATGGATCCCAAAAGGATGTACAGAATTTGCTTAAAAACCCATCATCAGGCATCCATACTTTGCAATAATAAGAGAAATATATTTTCATTCTCAGGGTATTTTAATTCCCTTCCTGAGTTTTTTCTCAGAAACCTCCAACTCTGCCAGCTAGAAAAATATGAGGCAGTACAACATTTCTCTTAACATAATTTTTCTAAATATTCCCTGTGATATGGTACATAACTGGGAGTAGCATACAAAGTCTTCTTAACCATAGGCATGGAAAAAGTACATATGGTCAGTCTGGCCTTACTGGCCTTACACCACTAGCTAATGCATACAATAGTTTAATCAAATAATGTTGTACCAAATCATATGCTATGCTAAGATCAACAGCATCTAAAAAGCACAAAAACTGGGGGAAAAAAAAGGCAGTTTAATGCAAATCTCAATAGAGGGCTTTGCTGTAAAAGTGGTCCTGTGGAAACAAAGCTCTGTAGTAACAGCCAACTCTTTTATGCTTAACATCAATATTATTGATTTTTTTTCTCTGATCTTTCACTGGTACTGCGGGCCAGTGTCAGGTCTTGTCAAATATATGCAGGCCCAACATTTTTTTCAGTGTTTCTATATTTGGTTGAAATAGTATTGAGGGGAGCAAGAAATAAATTGCTGGGAAATTTTACTTCTTTTGTATATCCAGAGATCTTTATATACACAGAAGCTCAGCATTTCTCTTTAGACTGTTGGGAAATAACTTTGGTACTATAAAAAAGCGTTTCTGTAGAGGTCCTCAGAAAGTTTTCAAAATACATTAGAAATTATCTAAGTCCATGTAAAAACAGCCAGATACAAATGGGCAGATTTTCTAAACGTAAAAAGTGCTTCCACAGCCAGAAAAGCACAGCTACCCAGCACCACTGAAAACTAAATCTGCTTTTTAGAAATACCTCAGTATGGATTCAAGACTTGCCTTCGGGCACTTAGATTTGGAAAAAATAAATGGCTTTATTTTTTCTTCCCCAGGCATGCGCATGTAATGTTTTTAGTGCTCTAGAGGAAGTCAAACATTATCTGTATTTGTACACAGTAGCTGTATGTGCCTATGGAAGGGAGATGTAGAACTGTATGACAGGAGAGGTAAAGCTTTAGCACCTTAGGGAGTCTCAGTCAGTCTCCTCATCTGTAAATGTAGCTCAGATTGTCTGAGGCAAAGAAAATTTATTTTTATCAGTGTACTCCACTACGGCAAGCCCAGGGCATCAAGAATGTGCTATCCCCAGTCCCACAAGTGAAAAGGAAAACATTTGGAGTAAGTTGCACAGTTCCCTGTTTCCTTCTCTACCACATTCTTTCTACTGACAGAGAGTTTTCTCCAGGGAGCTGCTTTAATTTTGACCCTATGTACACCTTAGCTTTTTATTTCAGTTCAGGAGTTTATTTCCAAAACAAATCTGCCAGTTGCATGCCCTTACTATGTTTTGCCTCTTTTAACCATGTGAAGCAGATTCCTTTTGGATGAAGCTCAGCAGGGGGACACTCACCAGGACCATACTTCAAATGTACCATGGCCAAGTTTCCTCATGGGCTTTCACAGGACACAGCGGAGCTAGTCAAATCTGACCACCCCAGAACATGTACACCATGGAGGTAGGGTTTCAGCACCAGCTGTTTCACTGTTCACATCTGCTCCAAATGTGGCGCACTATTGGCTGATGTAAGCAGAACAGAAAAATGTTGTCAAGGGACTCATCTATAGGATTCTACTGGACAGTTTATCATTTCTTCACCAAGTAACCCTTGCCCACTGACGCCATTCACCTAGCATGTCTCAGTATGTTGTAACTGATAATGTTATACTGTCATAAACACAAGGTTGAAGTTCCTTTTGTACACCTACACACTCCACTACAGAGGTTCAGTATAAATAAATCTCTGCTTAGCCTAGGCCTGTTTTGTTGAGAAGTGCAAAGCAGCTGCCTGTCACTTGTAGGTGAAATGTTTGCGTTCTAGAAATAGTAAGTTGGGAGCCTTTGAGAGGATCAATATTCCATAGCTTTTTGCGAAAATTAATAGTAGGCATAAGTGCCGAAAATAAATCAATTTTCATGCATATATTCAAGCAGGCATGTACAAAGTAAGCTCAATGAGGTTATCAAACAATTATAGCTCTATCCCCTTTTGGTATGTCTATGCCATTAACTAGGAATTTTGAAATTCAAAAGGTCAAAGACAACACCATAAGATTACCACCTAGTTTAATTACTTCATGCAATATGATGACAAAGGGAATATTTTGAATCCTTTTGGTCATTGGAAGGGAAGAGGTTACTGAAGGAAATAAGCACATTATCCAGTGCTTCATCATAAAGAACAATCATGAATGATTTGTATTACTTACAGCAGCAAAATCACTTATATTTCAAGTTTCCCAGGATGCCATATTTGATTAGAATCTGAAGCTCAGTTTCCAATGCATCAATTACACCAATATAATCACTTATTTGAGTAAAACATCAGTCTTTAAACAGGAAAGAAGCCTCCACTGTGCACAGTTTTCTTTCCTCTCTCTTAATTACCTGAAGTAGAAAAAAGATCAATATAATTTTCTAGGTAAAATGCAAGGATTCCCATCATCCACAGGCATGCAGGAAAGACTTGTTTTCAGATATCCATCTGAATGGAGCCTCATGGACGAACTACTCCAGCCCTCCACCTGTAAGGTGGAAGAAAGGTGGCTGTTGGCATCATCATCTTTTTGGCCACATGCATCTAAATAGGAAGAAAAGGGCTTAGATGCATAGACAACCTTTGAAGCTCTGGAAAATGTTGGGGAGTTTTGGTGCCCACCTGTATTTATTACTTCCAGGTGCCCATAGCCAGCAACTGCACCCACAGCTCAGAAGTCTGGCTATGCTTGGGTCCCAGAGCCTTAGCTTTAGGAACCGAGTCGGGGAGCACAGCACCTTTCACATCACTAAATTGATCGAATTTTGCACCCAGAGTATGATACTTCAAAATGAAACAGTTGTTTCATCATACAAATGACCACTAAATCTTTTAGTTATCTATGGAGGCAAGAACCATGAATTTCCTGATTTCTTGTTGCATTCTAATATGATTTTTGTACTTCAAGTGACAATGGGATAGGGAACATTTGCTGCCTTACATGCTCCTTCAATAAAATCATAGAATCATAGAATAGTTAGGATTGGAAAGGACCTTAAGATCATCTAGATCCAACACCCCTGCATGGGCAGGGACAACTTCTACTAGACCATTTAACTCAAGACCATGTTCAATCTGGCCTTGAACACTGCCAGGGATGGAGCATTTACCACTTCTCTGGGCAACCTGTTCAGTGTCTCACCACTCTCACAGAAAGAATTTCTTCTTTATATCTCATCTGAACATCCCCTGTTTGAGTTTAAACCCATTACCCCTTGTCCTATCACCAGTCCCTGCTGAAGAGTCCCTCCCCAGCATCCTTGTAGGCCCCCTTCAGATACTGGAAGGCTGCTAGGAGGTCTCCACGCAGCCTTCTCTTCTCCAGGCTGAACAGCCCCAACTTTCTCAGCCTGTCTTCATATGGGAGGTGCTCCAGTCCCTGATCATCCCCACGGCCTCCTCTGGACTTGTTCCAACCGTTCCATGTCCTTCTTATGTTGAGGACACCAGAACTGCACACAGTACTCCAAGTGAGGTCTCATGAATGCAGAGTAGAGGGGCAGGATCACCTCCTTCGACCTGCTGGTCACAATCCTTTTGATGCAGCCCAGGATACGGTTGGCTTTCTGGGCTGTGAGAGCACACTGACACTGGCTGATGTTCAGTTTCTCATCAACCAACACCCCCAAGTCCTTCTCCGCAGGGCTGCTCTGAATCTCTTCTCTGCCCAACCTGTAGCTGTGCCTGGGATTGCCCCGACCCAGGTGCAGGACCTTGCATTTGGCATGGTTAAACTTCATAAGGTTGGCATTAGCCCACCTCACAAGTGTGTCAAGGTCCCTCTGGATGGCATTCCTTCTCTCCAGCCTATCAACTGAATCACATAACTTAGTGTCATTGGCATACTTGCTGAAGGCACACTCAATCCCACTGTCCATGTTACCAACTAGATGCTGAACAAGATCATTTTTCAAACATTGAAAACTTCTTTAAATGCTTGAAATTCATGTAAATCATTTCAGCAATGTGAAAAAAAAAAATCTTAATTATTGGTTTTCACCTGTAAACCTGAGCATGTGTAGCAAATAGGTGTGATCAATATCAGTATTTCAGGTGGCAAATAAATCAGCCACTCCATATCCCTGTATTTCAAAGCACTTCCTGCAGAACAAAAACGTGCCTGAGTCTCTATATCACATCACTTCCTACACAGGAATCCCACAGGGATGTTGTAATGCATTCTTTTCATCACAAGTATGAAATGATTACTCACATATGCTCACTTAATTAAGCAGCAGTTAATTACATCCTGTGCATCAGACAGAAAGGCTTAGCATTGGATTAATAAGACTAACCAGTAGATCTGGGAGGAAATATTTTTGCTGCTTGGAATGTAGCTCCCCTTTTATTGAAGGAGTATCGTCTACAGCAGGGACTCCTGTAGGCCACAGCACCGTCCCTGGAAGAGTGCAGCAGAGTCTGAAGTTGTGTTACCAGTGTTGCCAGAGCTTGGTTTTCTTTCCCTTAGGAGCCCTTTTCTGCTTTTTTGCCCCAGGGTGAGCTCTGGATTCCTTTCTCAGCAGGTCTCCAGATTTAATAAGCTCTAAGCCTCAGAAAATCCCAGCTGATGAGAGGTGAAGCTTGTTGTTCCACCTGTGTGCCTCTTGAGAACAAGGAAGGTTAGAGTCCTCATCTCTGCAGGACTAGCTCAGTACGGTATTGGCAGTTTTCTCCCTGGCTTTCTGTCATATTTCCATTCTGGCTAGACAGACTCTCTGGGATAAACCAGGATTTTCTGTGTAATTCAAAAGGAGGAAATAGTTAATTATATTATGAAAGTTTCAAATGCTATTTTAAAAGGCAACACAGATTGGCTGTAACGCTGCCTACCTGCATAAAATCCTGCCATATGATACATTCCCTAATTACAATGCTTGCATTGAGTCTTTGTTAAAAATAAATCATGTGTCACACTGCTAATGTACTTCTTGGTTCAGTGATACCTAGTCACTAGTGATGACACTTTGAGATCAGGCAAAAAGCTTTTAACTGAAAAACAAGATTGGTCAATAGATAAGATTTTTCTTCCTTTTTAATTTTTTACTATACCTCAGTGTAATGTAATAAAACCAAAGGAAGTCAGACTTCTAAGAAGGAATTTGTGTTGATAGTGTATCAAAATACCACAGCAATTGCAGAAACGCAAGAGGTACTAGAGTTTCGGGTTACTATAGGTGGATTGACAGAACGTAATTTCTATTTAGAGCCATCCAGTGGTGACTGGCTGAATTTCATGTATCTTTTTCTCAAGTACTGGCTCTTAGTTTGACTCTGATTTCCACATCACTCACTTCTTATTCTTTCACCTTTCCAGCAATCATCAAATTCAATTCAAAATTATCTCTGAATTAAGGCACTGTCTTCAGGAGGTTTAAAATGAAGATGACTGTGGAAACCTGGAAGCAGCAACAGAAAAAGCAGTGGATCTGCTGAGTACTTTTAACAAGATAATAATAGAAAACCCTCCTGCACTTACATAAAAACCAGATGCTAACAAACCACTGCCTGTGCTTTTGTTTGAGTTAGGTATTCCTGGGCAACCGTGCCATGAACAAATAAAAAAAGGAAAAGCAGCAAATATGACAGGCTGGAATGACTGCAGACATATCGTCGGTTAACAGAGAAACAATGCTCATTGCAGTTTGCTGCAGAAACAATATCCAGGGGTGTGAGACCTAGCAGAGGGGGTAGAGGGAGAAATGGTAGCATGGACAAGTTTCTGAAAAGCAGACTGAAAATTAAGGGTCGCCAAGTTGATTTTTTGAAAGAGAGGATTGCTGGTAAGAGGCTGGAAAACATTAAGTCAATTAATTATACAGTTACAGAGAACCAAGGAAGCTTTTTCAGATGGAGGCTGAAACTGAGATTTTGCAAGGAAAACTGGTGGTAAAAGGTTATTTAGTTACATTAACAGGAAAACAATTTCAGAAAAATGGATCTAGAGTGATTTCTGAAAATAAATACATCTGTTTAAAGGTTGGACTCAGTGGGTTAATTAAAAGTGTAGTATTGATGTAGCCCTTGGAGGATTTACTGACAATACATATACATATTCAAGAGGACTGGGACAGAAAAAATAAAAAGATTTAGGAATAAGGTACACCAGTTTATATTTAAAAAAAATGCAATTACGAGACTCCAGTGTGTCCCCGCAGAAGGAAGGCCAATATCATCTTGTGCTGCATTAGGCAGAGCATTGCCAGCAGATTGAGAAAGCTGATGCTTCTCCTCTGCTCGTCCCTGGTGATACACATCTGGAGCACATCTGGAGGAAAAGCAGAGACAGCTGGGGCTGCTCAGCTGGGAGAAGAGAAGGCTCAGTGGGATTTATCGATGTGCGTAAATACCTGATGGGGAGAGTACAGACGATAGAGCCAGGCTCTCCTCCATGTTGTCCAGTGACAGGATGAGAGGTAATGGGTACAAACTAAAATATGAGAAATTTCATGATATACAAGACACTTTTTTACCATGAAGGTGATCCAGCACAGGAACAGCTTGCTCAGAGAGGCAGTGGAGTCTCCATCCTTGAAGATACTCAAACTGCAACTGGACACAGCTCTGAGCAACCTGCTCTTGCTGACTCTGTTCTGAGCAGATGTTTGGACCAGATGATTTTGCAGGTGCCTTCCTGCCTCACCTGGTCTGTGACTCTAAATAGGAAGAAGGAAATAAATAGAAAATAATTTGTACAAAAGAAAACAAATACTTCTCTGTGAATGTTTGTTGCTACTGCAACATAGAATAACAGTGATGTGTGAAAATATATCAATACAATACACAAATATGTAGCTGTAAGCACAACACAATAGATAAAAGCTGGCTATGAAACTAGACAAAGAGGTAACAGAATAACCACAAAGGGGAAGAATGGAGACAAAAGGTAAATAAAGACTTTTTTGCTCAAGGTAGCTTTTGATACTTGATAATTTGGGTTTTATTGCCAACAGTGCCAACATCCGCTGTTTCTGAATGAGGTCTGTAAATATTACATTACTAATTTTCTCAACTCATATAATCACTTAATAGCGAGTACTAGTTTATGCAACACTTTCAAGAAAACAAGACAATGTCATGGATTTGGTTACACAAAAGGCAAACAAATTCAACTGATTTCAGTAACCACTAAGTAAAACTGGAAACTAAGAGAAAGCTAACGAAAGAAGGCAGCCACAGGCCAAGTAACTACATTTCCGTAATAGAAGATATTACTGGAAGAAGGCTGAATGCTGGTATCAAGAATCCCCAAAAAGCAGAGAGATTTCTGAAAACCAGAAAGAGGTAGGAAACTTAGAGTCTAGGACAATGTGAATGACACGAGGTTTTGTTTGTTTGTTTGCTTGCTTGCTTGTTTTTAAAAAGCAACTATGAAACCAGGGAGGGTAGGAATAGCCCCTCTAAACTGAGAAGTTTAACTCCTAAGTCAGTATTAAGGAGTGTTTGTATCTTTCTGAGCATTCTAGAAATGCTGAAAAAAGCTTTGCCTGTGCTGTCAGGCAAAGTTGGTTATTTGGGGTGTTATCCTTTAATTTTTTTTAGTTTTTGTTTTGTGTTAGTTGGCATCTTTAGTGACTTGACAAGGCTATTTATTATGAAAGAACTCAATAAATCATCAGAAATTTAGTATTTGCATCATTCCTAATTTTTTTTTGTCACATATCACACCAAACTGCTCAGTTTTACTTACATCATTATTTACAACACAGAAATTGTAATTTAACAGTTACAGTGCCCCTATAGCATCTGTATCACCATCAAGCTGAGGAGACATTCATATTAAGTCAGTCAAGGGAAAATAAAATCATAGAAGTTTGTAAAACAATTGCACACACCCAGATTCTGTGATAAGATAAAGAGCACTTGGCATCACAGCATAATTCACATTCTGCTATGGACTTACTGTTACAAGTAACCAGGAAATATTTCACAACACACTTGACTCACCCATATGTGGCAAATAATGCAGTCAATGGTCACAGAAATTTCCATCTAGATATGTACTATAACACAGTACTTTGAACCCCATATTATTATACCACGGCAAAACTCAGGATTAAGGTTGCTTCCTGCCCTAAAAGGAAGTTGTTTGCTTATCACTCACAGAGTCCAGACTGCAGAGGAAAGTGGTTTTATTGTACATAATATTCTCTGGTAGCCCTGGGGAGCTCTAGAGTATGACTGCTAAGGTCAGATGTCTAAACAGAAGACCTGGTCTCTGATGACCACCCTGAAGGGTTGGACTTTTTTTTTTTTTAACTGAAGTTTAACTGAGTTTGAATCAGCTATATCCTTCTAAAGAAAAGACTGGAAGGGACCATATCTCCATATCTCCCCAGCTACCTCCCACAACTTCTCCAGAGACCCAGTTGCATCTCCAGCATGAAGTATAAGGTCTTCCAAAGAGCAGAAGGTGCTTGGTCACAGCCTTGTTGCCTTTCAGCTGTGGCTAAGCAGAGAATAGAGAGAGATACAACTTCAGCCATTCTGTTGCTTGCTTTCCTGCCAAGCAATGCGACCTCTGGGATGAACTGAGCAGGTCTGACCAGCTCTGCATAGCAATTGAAGGGCACTTCCCATCAAATACACACCTCTTGGAAAAGCCCAGGAAAGAGGAAAACCTACCAGCACTCTGATTCACAACCCTGGCAGCTACACATTGATCCAATCTGTACTGGTAGGATACGGTCTCATGAAATGGGAGGACAGAAGTGGAGAGGGAGAAGGAGAGGAAAGGGGAGAGGCAGAGAGACAGGGAGAGGGGGAGAGAGAGAAAGGGAAAGGGAGAGGGAGAGGGAGAAGATCTACCTCAAAGTGTCTAAGTTATGCCCTTTGCTGATTTCACTGGTAAATTGAATTTCTTATGATTAAGAGGTTGGATCTTCCTCTTAAACGCTGAAATGTTTGCTAATGCAATAAACACCAGCCTAAAATAAGGATCACTGGGTGTCTCTGTAATGCAGGGGAGAGGGAACTTTGCCCTTTCCTCTAGAAAAAAAAATTGTTGTGAAACAATTTGATAAGCTCCTTTATCTGCAGGTTGGAAAAATGATCCTTTTAGGGTTGGCTGTTTTGGATTTTTTTCACATCTTCAGCCCTCAGGCCCACAACCACAGCTTATTAGATTTGCCTGTTGCAGGTGGCATAGGTCATGTTTAAAAGCACAAAGATGAGAGTTTGGGCCTTTTGAGATTTGTATTAGTGAGATAAGAAATATTTTATAAGATATGCTAAGAAATGGACACTCCACCCTTGAATTGCTTCTTCAGAAGAGTACATTGCAGTTCCTTATTCTTTGCTTCCTGAGGTGAATGAACTGATCATTGCTCATAAAATTGTAGAATGAATTTTCCCATGCTCACTGAAATTTGTTATAAACAAGGTAGTCTCTGAACTCAAGTCATCAAAGGAGATAGAGTGATCACATAACAAATACAGTATCGACCCACCAGCCACTCTGCATGCAGAAGTACACAACACATCCAGGCAAAATAGTTTCTCACCTTTCTTCCACAACAGCCCCTTCTTCAATGAGTGACTGCAGAAAAAGTTTCTTTGGGAGGCTGGCTGTTTAAAGTTTAACCGATGAGGGCTTTCTGCAAAGCCAAAAGGTAGTGTGCAGGGTGTTTCTTTCAGGAGGCACTTTCTGTATAACAGTATAAATCTGATCTTCAAACTTTCTAGAACTGGCCTGGAGAAAAGCTAATATTCCAAGCTAAAAATAAAACCTCAGAGTTAATCCATTTTGATGGAAAAATCTCTCCTTTATTTGCTGAAATATATGGCTCTGAATTCACTTTGAAGCATCTGAAATGTTCAGTGCTTAGTTCTGTTATGTAAATCCTAAATCTCTCCTTTCCTGCCCAGTAAACTGTCATGAGAAATATGCTTTCTTATCTGGGATCACCTGTTTCACATACACTGCCTCAGCTGTCAAAATGATAAACAGTAAAACATTCTGCTGACATGCATGAGGAAAACTTAGCATTTCAGCCACAGAAAAGTTCTTTGTTTTAGACCAGCCTTCTAATTATTACAAGATTTTAAAGAGCAAGAGGCAAAAAGAAAATATTAATCAGTCCTTTCAGGAGAAGGTATGGAAAAAAAACCCTTTTATTTGGATGCTGTATCCCCTGGGAACTTACGGAATAGCATAACATTTCCCTAGGTGGAAAAAAGTGGGGGTTTTAATCTGTCCTGGGTTCAGCAGTAGCAGTCATGTTTAGAAGACCATAACAGGATGACCTGAGTTCCCTCACAACCTAAGTTATTCTATGAAAATTATGGCATTCAACCACTTATTAAGGTATGCTATTCTGATGGATATTGTGTTATTATTTTATTATTATATGAAAAAGGTATTTATTTGTTTTTATGTATATAAATATTACAAAAGTAACAATTACAATTATTTAGTGTTAATAACATTTACTTTCAAAGTTCACATCGTACTTTAAAATATTAATTAGAAGTGTACTTCCCTACATTTAAAATGCATCTAAGATTTTTTAATACCACCTGTCCTCTTTTGTCTTAGCAGACTCACATGCTCCACCATTAATCGTCTGAGAACTTTGTACAAAATGCACCATGGAAGTTGTTTTTTCTGTTTACTCACTGTTTATCTTATTTACAAAAGTACAGCAAACAAAGATAGTAAGCAGAGATATCTGAGAGATAATGTGATGTTAAAATGTTAATCTAGTTTCTTTCTTAAGTAAGTATTGGCAAGCCAAAGCAAAGCAAACACAGACATAAACATCAAGCACATTTTCATGGCATCCACAGCAGAAATGCACACCTCCTTTCCTTTTTAAATTCACTGCAAAAGCTTCCTTTGACTGCAGGGGGAGCAAGAATTTTCCTGAAGTATTTTGAAATATTCAGCTGTGGTGCACTGTGCAGTTATCTTGGTCATTAACTATTTCTGCATAGAACAGAAAGAACAAACTACATCTATAGTACCTGAAATCAAACTGAGCAGTATGTTTCCTCAGGCTGACTCCCTGTCTCAAAAAATATGGTAGAAATAAATGTATAAAAGAGGCTAAAATTAGAAATTAAATTTCTTTGTATTATTATACAAAAAAAAAATCTCATACAGAATGAACAGTCAGCTATGAATTTATCTTATAATAATAGGAACCTTATAATGTCATTAGAAAGGTAATTTTCTACTGCAATAGATGAACTTTAACACTGCCACACTGATGTTCATCATCTGAATGTCTAGCCTTATGATTTTATTTGTGCCCTATCATACTTTGTCCTAATAGCCTCAACAAGGAGTATATGCAGAGAAATCACTCTTCCACAATCATCATCATGTTATTCAATTGCATGGAAGAATCAACACAGCTTCTAGAAGTTTATGTACTTACAGGGATGACTCGCAAACAAGGCAGCTGGAGCAGTTTCCACCCCAGCTCTCAGCTCTGCCCCTAAGGAGCTGCTTCTCCTGCAGAACAGTGTTGTAACCTGGGCAGAACCAAATGCTTATGAGTAAGCTGTTCTGATGATGGATCAGAGCATTACTGGAATTAGACAGAAGTTAATAACAAGTAGCTGAAATATGAATATGTAAGTACATCCTGTTAACGAACCATTGCTGGGCAGACTGAAATGTCAAAGGCCCTGAAATATGAGGAGGAAATAATGACTATAGTGTATGCTGCAGTTATCAGGAGTTTACTTCATTAAACATGAGCAGGAAACTATGTTTTGAGGTACATTAAAGAAAAATGGAACCCACTGTTGGAAAACCATTCAGGCAGTATGCAAGACTCACATAATTTGACCATGTTCAGAACTGTATAATAACCTACTGAAACAGCCATAACTGGTATCATAGGTGGACACATCTTTACACTGTATATAAGCCTGTGAGAAACATCTATTGTACAAGTATCTGTGCTTCAGAATCCAGAATGCAAATCTGACACTCTGGTTGTCTGCAATGCTATGTATGTTACATTATGGTCACCCCAGGGAAAGACACCCTTTACATTTGCCTCTGGTCTAGTACCCTGCCCTTTAGGCTTGGCTGTAATCTGGCTGGCTCTGACAGAAGCAGATATTAATACTGGTATTACCCTGGGTTTCCTGGACCGCAGCAGGCTGGTTCCTGTTCCTGGCTCAGGACTGTGGGGTGAGCAGTTCATCCTCACCTTCCAGGAGAAGAGCGAGAATAGGAAGAACTGGTCACTGTTTCAGACAGGAGATTTTCTTTTTTCTGCATGTCACGGTCCTCCACCATTGCACCAGGAAAGTGCATTCTTTAGACTAGCTGCCACCAGTAATGTTTGAGATGTGTAGTCTCAGCAGATGCTCAGAAAGCACACAACAAATTATAAAAATGTCAAATTCAGTCTTTGAAGATGAGTCCATGTATACACTTTCTCTTTGGGTGATTGGGCTTTTTGATGTCATATCTACTAGACATGTTTCAGCTTTCTCACACTCTCCTCAGGATATTCTCCAGGCTTTTTAACTTCACAACCTCCGTTATTCCCTGCTGCTGAAAAGCACTTTTCTCTTGGACAGCTTCATTGATAGCTTTATTGATAGCTTAGTTTCCTCTGTGTCTTTTTCTTGTAGTTTACTTTAGTTGATTCCGAGACATTTTTTTTTCCCTTTTAGAGCTGGATTGTTGGTTTTTTCCCCCATAAACATTGCTCTGGGCTTCCAATTTGGCAATACCTGAAATAAGTATATGCAATATCTTCCAAACTAACTTCAAATGCAATTCAATTCCCAAATCAAACACAGTAAGACATTTTTTATGAAGTTCAAAAAGGCTGGTGCTCACTTCAGTGTCCCCAGCTAACTATATTTGCCAGCTTACATAGCAAATGAGTTTTCTGACTCAGGAAGGAACTTGTGCAGTATGTGTCTGTCTCTATTCCTTTGAACCTGGAACACTTCAAAATAGAGAGTACAAGCCTAAGGAACAGCTGCTACTGATGCATGACTTCACATCAGTGTCAGCCCTTGGCATCAGAAAGCATCTGTTACTATGGATCAGTTCTTTCGTATGCTGGTCCCTGGAAACACTGGTGAAACTGAGACTTCCTCATTTGACGTCTCTTAGAATCATGGAATAGTTAGGGTTGGGAAAGACCTTAAAATCATCAAGTTCCAAACCCCGTGCAATGGGTAGGGACATCTCACACTAAACCATGCCACGCAAGGCTCTGTCCAAGCTGGCCTTGAACACTGCCAGGGATGGAGCATTCACAACTTTCTTGGGCAACCCATTCCAGTGCCTCCCTATAGGCCCCCTTCAGGTACTGGAAGGCTGCTATGAGGTCTCCATGCAGCCTTCTCTTCTCCAGGCTGAACAGCCCCAACTTTCGCACTCTTCATACAGGAGGTGCTCCAGTGCTCCAGTCCCCTGATCATCCTCGTGGCCCTCCTCTGGACTTGTTCCAACAGTTCCATGTCCTTCTTATGTTGACACCAGAACTGTACACAACACTCCAAGTGAGGTCTCACGAGAGCAGAGTAGAGAGGCAGGATCACCTCCTTTGACCTGCTGGTCACAATCCTTTTGATGCAGCCCAGGATATGGTTGGCTTTCCGGGCTGCGAGCACACACTGAGGCCGGCTCATGTTAAGTTTCTCATCAACCAACACCCTCAAGTCCTCCTCCGCAGGGCTGCTCTGAATCTCTTCTCCACTCAACCTGTAGCTGTGCCTGGGATTGCTCAGACCCAGGTGTAGGATCTTGTACTTGTCATGGTTAAACTTCATGAGGCTGGCATCAGCCCACTTCACAAGCACATTGAGGTCCCTCTGGATGGCATTCCTTCCCTCCAGCGTATCAACTGAACCACACAGCTTGGTGTCATCAGCAAACTTGCTAAGGGTGCACTCCATCCCACTGTCCAGGGCAGCAACAAAGATGTTGAACAAGACTGGTCCCAACGCCGATCCCTGAGGGACACCACTCCTTACTGGTCTCCAGCTGGACATTGAGCCATTGACCACAACTCTTTGTGTGTGGCCATTCAGCCAGTTCTTTATCCACCAAGTGATCCATCTATCAAAATGATGACTCTCCAATTTAGAGACAAGGACGTCATACGGGACATCAGCATGACAGGGAGGGACTCCTCATTAGAGACTGTAGTGATAGGACAAGGGGTAACAGGCTAAAACTTAAATAGGGGAAGCTTAGATTGGCTATAAGGAGGAAGTTCTTTACCGTAAGGGTGATGAGGGACTGGAATGGGTTGCCCAAATTGTGAATGCTCCATCCCCGGTGGTGTTCAAAGCTAGGTTGGACAGAGCCTTGGGTAATCTGGTTTAGTGTGAGGTGCCCTTACCCATGGCAGGGGGGTTGGAACTAGATGATCTTAAGGTCCTTTCCAACCCTAACTATTCTATGACAGCGGCGAACGCTTTGCACAAGTCCAGGTAGATGACGTTAACTTATCTACCCCTGTCCATCAGTTCTGTAGCCCCATCATAGAAGGCCACCAAATTGGTCAGGCAGGATTTCCCCTTAGTGAAGCCATGCTGGCTGTCACCAAGCACCTTGATGTTTTTTATGTGCCTTAGCATGCCTTCCAGGAGAATCTGCTCCAAGATTTTGCCAGGCACAGAGGTGAGACTGACTGGTCTGTAGTTCCCTGGGTCATCCATTTTCCCCGTCTTGAAAATGGGGTTATATTATTCTTTTTCCAGTCATCAGGAACTTCACCTGTCTGCCATGATTTTTCAAATATGATGGACAGTGGCTTAGCAACTTCATTTGCCAGCTCCTTCAGGACCCATGGATGGATTTCACCAGGACCCATGGACTTGTGCACGTTCAAGTTCTTAAGATGGTCTCAGACCAGATCCTCTCCTACAGTGTACCCAAGGTCTTCACTCTCACAGTCCCAGAATCTGCCTTCCAAGACCTGGGTGGTGGGTCAGAGCATTTGACAGTGAAGACCGATGCAAAGAAGTCATTAAGAACCTCAGCCTTCTCCAAATCCAGGGTAATCAGTTACCCTGATAGCTTCCAGAGAGGGCCCACGTTGTCCCTATTCTGTCTTTTTTTCACAATGTACCTATAAAATCCCTTCCTGTTACCTTTCACATCCCTAGCCAAGCTTAATTCCAACTGGGTCTTAGCTTTTCTAACCTGGTCCCTAGCTTCCCAGACAACATTCCTGTATTCTTCCCAGGCCACCTGTTCCTGTTTCCACCTTTTATAAGCCTCTTTTTCCCCTCTGAGTTTCCTCAGGAGCTCCTTATCCATCTAAGGAGGTCTTCTGGCCCTCCTGCTGCACTTCCTTCTGTTTGGGAGGCAACACTCCTGAGCTTGTAGCAGGTGATCCTTGAATACCAACCAGCACTCTTGGGCCCCCCTGCCCTCTATGGCTATTTCCCATGGAACCTTACTAAGCAGGTTCCTGAAGAGCGAGACAAGGGGGAGCACGAAATTACAAAATGAAATATATAAACCTCTAGAATCAGTTTTAAGTAATGTTAAGTTTGATGGCTTTGTAACAGTAGCAATGGGAAATTACTGAGGTGCATGATACACAGAAAAAAAAAAGGTAGACTACAGCTAGAGAACATACTGAGAATTCTTGTACAAGATACATCATTATAGCTGACATAGTTTTAAGAAAAACAGTCTAGAAGAACAGGTCATGGGGATAAGGAGTATCTGGGAATGGCAGGTGCCCAGGATGGGCTACAGTTAAACTAACTGGTAAGCAGGAGGACAGGAGGATTGTTATGTCTCTGGTCCTAACGAGCCAATTAAGCTGGTATAAGCATCTACTGCGCGTGCTCCAAAGACGGCCAGAAGTGATGAAGATTGCTGGAAGAAGTAAACGACGCTTGACGGCCTCAGCACAGTTTGGGCCTGGAGCAAGCAGTCCTGCTTCCTCTCAGCTTCCCTGACATCTTTCAGCCTATTGACAGCGTCCCGCAGCGCAGTCACCTGCTGCAGGAAGACCTGCACCATGGAGCCCCAACTGCATCCCTGCCGATTGTGCACCCTCCCCTCACCAGACCAGTGCAGGCACTCTCTACACTCCGAGCTCTGCACTGCAGCCTCCCCTCTCATCGGCTCTGCCTGGGTGCCTACGCTGGCCACCGCCGGGGCAGCCAGAGCAGAGCTCCCAGACCGGGCCGGGCTCTGGTCATGAAGCAAGTGCTCACCATCCCGCTCGCTCAGCCTGCCCGAACTGCCGCGCCAGCTGCAGTGCCGCACTTGATCGCCCCGCTCCCTGGGGCAGGTTTTTACCCGGTCAGGGCTGGTGCCGCTGCTCCTGGCTCCGCCCCCTGTGAGTCAGCTGCTCGCTCTCGTCAGCTGAGCTGCCGGCTCCTGGGCAGGTCCTGTCGAGGACTTGAGGCTCCCTCTGTGGCTCTTGCCGCTCTGAGTTGAGGCTCCTGGACGTTGATCTCCCCCCGCTCAGGTGTTGAAGGCGTCCTCTCTCGAGCTACTCACCTCAGCAACTGACACGCTTCAGCAATTTCCACAACTTCTCCCAGTTCTTGACCATTTGCACAAGATGTCTAAGGAACTTTGATTTCTTAATATCCAGTTGCCATTTCAGGAGGTTCTGGGCCAAGCTTCAAAGCCCTTCACCAATAACAGCAAGGCCTTGAAGGGAAGAAAAGAAGGTCCAAGGGCTTGGCTTGGTCCCATAACTGCTTGCTGCTCCTGCCACATCAGCTAGTACTGATGAAAGAAAGAAAAAAAAAGAAAGAAAGAAAGAAAAAAAGAAAGAAAAAAAAGGTTACTAAGAAGAAAATCTTTTAGGTTTTCTGCAGGACTCAGTCTCACGGAATCCTTTAGAATCACAACTTTACATCTATCGTTCCAGCCTTTTAGTAAAATACACTGCTCTCTTCAGAAAAGAAAGGCTACAGGGCAGGGCTACTTCTGGCATCAAGACTAGGACTGTCCAGGATTCTCCTCTTCCTAGAACCCGAACTCCATCACAGCAGGAATGCTTCTCACATGAGATGTTCAGCTTCTTCTGTCCTGATAGTTGTGCTGATCCGTCCTGGATTCTGCAAAGGCCAGTCTTTTTCTGCACTTCTAGATGCTGCTATTTTTATTTTTTTTCCTTTTCATTATAATGGCCCATTTATCCCCAGTTGCAGTCAGAAAGAATTTCTCCCCCTGCATACAGAAGCCCTAGATTTATAGAATAAATTCAGGGTATTTTCATAATCTCTTGTGGAAGATATTCCCAAATATTATGGTACTGCTGGAGGAGTCATCAATACTGAACAAGGTTTATAGGACAACATCCAATACCCAATCTCTCCAGAAGGTCTCTACCTATAAATCAGGCTTTGCTGGACTCTTCTTACCTACTCAGTATCTTCTGCAGAAGCAGTGGACTGTAAATATCAAGTCCTTACTACAGAGTTTTTGTTTAAACACCTATCCTCTTATTTCATTTAGGGAATTAGCTAGAAAACTAAAAAATACATAAAAATATTACAGCCATAAAAACAGGAGGAAAGTTCTAATCTGGCAGCAACTCTTAAGTCTAGGGTATCCAATTACTGTGTCAAGCTTTGCTCCTAGGTCTTATTCCTTTATTTGGAACCATCTGTGTAGGTTATATTTGTTTAACTATTAATCTAGTAGCAAATTCTACTCATTCCTCAGTGTTAAAAACTAACACAAAAGTTAAAAGCTGAAGCAAAGGCATGTCCCATGGTTCTCTTCTGGCAACAAATTCCTTGATACATTAAAATCTAAGGTTGGCATTTGCATTACTTCTGAGTCCTTTATGACCTGGGTATGGAAGTAACCATCACAGTTATCAGCAGTTCCACTTGCAAAGTAAGTGACTTAGGCATTTACAGAAGGCCGTTCTAACATACTCCTTTATCTGACAGTGTATTCCTTCACACACATATCATGCTGCTGCATAAGAATGTAGCCAAATTTGCTAGAAGATTAGGTGAAATTCTATGCTTTCTTAGCCCTCCAGTCTCTAAAATGGAAGAATCACTGTATCCCTGGATGTCCATAGGGCTCTGCCTTTTTTTGTATTTTCAAAATTTTCAGGGGTTCTATGATACCATTCATCCCTACTGCTAACACCCAGCCCCACAGAGGTATCTTTGATTTGGGCATTTGGGGCAAATGTGATACCAGTGAATGACTTTCATGATCTCAGGGCTGTCTTCAAAATCTATAGGATGGCCTCCTAGAACTTCATTATTAAACCACTATAGACTATGAAGCAATACACAATTGCTAGAGCATTTGGAAATGGTGCAGGTAGTGGCAGCAGTCCTGCTTGAAGCATTTCTGTTGTTTCAGATTCTGCTTGGAGACATGTCACATGGAAACAGCATGCAATACTTCCAAAGAAAAGAAAAGAGGCTATTTAACCACAGCTGGAGATTCTTGAGAGCTCTAATCCACTGATACATTAGCTTCATGCTCTCTCTCTCTATTTCATATTCCAACTTGTCTCTGTTTAGATTTCAAATGGAGCGCAACTGAAAGCATGTGGCTATAGTCTACCTAGCATTAGGTAGACTTGTCATAGAGTTAAAGGGAGTAGCGCTAGGGCATACTTACAGATACTCGGTACTTGAGTGCTTGTTACACTTACTCTCAAAAAAAGTCACAGAACCACAGGATCAGGTATGCTGGAAGGAACCTCTGGAGGCCAGCTGGTTCCAGATCCTGTTCAAAGCAGGCTCAGTTACAGCAAGTTGGTCAGGCCTTGCCCAGCTGCATTTTGAGTACCCTGAAGGATGGACATTTTACAGACTCTCTGTACATCTGCTCCACTGTTTAACAACGCTTACCGGGGGGTGAAAAAAAGTTTAAAAAAATAAAAGCTTATTTCTATCCATCCCTTCACCTCTTACATCTAAATAGAATCACTTTTTAGTGGTGTCTCTTCCCTCCTTTTTCTGTCACCATGCACCTCTGAGAACAGACTGGATCCATCTCCTCTACACCCTCCCACTAGGTAGCGACAGGCAGCAGTAACATGTCCCATAGGCTTTTCCTTATGGCTGAGCAAGCATGGCACTCTGATGTTCTTCATACATTATCTACCAGTCCCCCAAGACCTCCAGCTCCTGGTAACTAACATCATTTTGTGTTAGGATATAATCAGAGTATAAAGAATCTCCAGAAGACCTCTGTATAGCTGAAGTCTGCCATCAGCTTTGTGGCAGATACATTAGTTTTGTGACATAAAATTGAAAAGGGCCATGTATTATTCTCAAAAACAAGCAGTATAGTTCACTCTTCATGACAATAGTGTAGCCATTAATATCTCCAGAATTACCCAACAGAGAACTATAATTTGATTTGATGATACAGAGGCTGAAGGTCCGTGAGCAGCTGAGGCAATCTAAGAGGCTGCAGTTGCTGAATATTTCATGCTGTCCCTAGTCTCCTCCACATCATTTCCTACTTATTCTTAACCTTTCCCATGCTCCTCGCTGTGGAAAGCTCTGCTTTTGCACCAGCTCTGGCACTCATTATGGTAAGTGAGTCAATTCAGCTTCTTGGCAGAAAACAATCTGCTTTTATTTTGTCTGGGTATGTTTTCTGCCACATTAATGAGCTCAGACAACTCAAGAAAGGTTCCAACAAACCCCAGACCCATCGCACAATAAGCAGAAACTGTACACAGCCAGGATCAGGATAAAAGTGGTAAAAAAACATCCTTTAGGACCTATGTGCAACTAGATCAACTTACCCTGTGGAATCCTGCCTCTGCTGGTTATTACTAGATTTTTCATTCCTGTCTTCCCTGAGGTCAGCAGGAATGCAGATACTGATTCATGAGAAAGGCAGTGGCTAAGGAATGCAGTACCTTTGGACCTGACAGAAAGCTGCCCTTTACCTCTGCTCTGCTAAGGACTTGCTACAGGGACGCTGGCCAGTAATTTAGCTGCTCTGAGTGTATCTCCAGATCTGTAAAAAAATGCTAGAAGTATCATACTTCCACAAGAGGTTTCGTAACAGTAATACATCAAAAACTTTTGAGGTCCACAGACAAAGAGACATACGCATGCTGGGGCCATCTAATTACCTACAGTAAATTACTAGACCACCATATAATAATCAGTACTAAACTCTCAATGCCCTTTCTGAAGACATTGCACAGCAATTCAGCATGGTATAACCAAATTGAAACAGAAAACTGAAAGGATGTGATATATTTTCTTAAGTATGCTAAGTATGTATTTTTCTTAGTATAATTAAATATATTTCTAAAAACCATATTTTTGAAATATGTTTTAGTAAACACTATCCTGTATTACCTTGGATATAGGGTACCTCTTATTTGAAGCTATTTTTTCTGCTTTTAGTTCTTTTGCATGATGTGAGAGCTCAGGTTAGTGCAGGATTAACAGAATTTGTTTAAATCCAGCATAGTGACAGTCTCAGGGTTCTCATACAATTCCACTGCTGCTGCTTCTTTTGGGTATCTTCACTACATATGGAAACCAGAGGCTTGAATGTGTATCACTAAATTTTCAATCCTTAACTAGGATTTAGAGACAGCAATGACAAATACCAGCATTTAGAGCAATTCACATACTATCATACATAGCAATTTCACTTTAGCTTATTTTTCAAATAACTTATTTTTTGAAACATCCACTATCCAGTTAAAAAGCAAACAAACAAAAAAATATGAAAAGATACAGTGGATGAGCAGCAGTTGCCTTGTCTCTGCTAACTTGAAAACTAAAGAACAGAATGATCCCATGAGAACTGCAACTATCATCTGTTTATGGAGCATGAACTAGATTAACTCATTTGATAAAAATAAGTTTTTTAAAAAAATAGCTAGCAAAATACAGCTGCTACAAAAAACAGTAGAAGACTAACTCAGTTTTAATGCTTCCCTTTAATGCAGTGTATACTTCCCTTCATGAGTAAGTGTTGCAGTAAGTTGCCATATTTTAGTATGGAAGCTAGAAGACCAAGTATCACCAAGTTAAGGATTTCGAAGCAAGGAATATCAACTGTACCACTAATGAATATTTATAATTCTCTTAATTATGCATTTTAATTCCCAAGAATGCTTACTTTTATCTATCTATAAAATTTTTGCATTTTTTCTTCTGATTTCACCATGTTGATTTGAATAATACTATGCATGTAAGGATTACTGGCTTAATAACTACTTTTCAAAGTACTTAGCATTAGTTGCCTTTAAAATGTTAATTTATTTCATCTAAGTTTTATTTTTGTCCACCAGAAAGACAGCAACTGCAACAATGATTGCTCAGGGTTTGAACAGTGAGAGAGTGATTCTAAATATAAGATGTCATTCAGGGGAAACTATTGTCTAATATCAGGCCAGAAGTAAAACACATCCCGCGAGACATTCATTGCACCACCACAGTCACGGCTTCACAATAAAACTGATCTTGCCAGATGGTGACAGAGTACTGCAGGTGGACAACTTCCAAAATAAACCCAGGAGAGTGAAAGTAGAGTTGCCCATTTCTAATCTCCTTCCTCTGGACATATGAAAAGGTTGCCTGCATACGCATACTGCAGATGATCTACATAAATGTAAGGACACTGGCAGCCAAGGTCATGATCTGTTTTGTGTTTGTTCCCTGAGCCAGTGAGAGACACTGAATTTTCCACGTGTGCAGGCATACGCACTCTCACGCATACCATTCATCTTCCCAGTAGGCAAAAGGGTGTATGTGATAGCGTGACTCATTATCCTGTCGCACTGTACACTTTATACCTACACCTGTTGCAGGCTGGTTCAAAATATGTGCCTTCAGCTCTTCCTGGGGGAACAGGAACACAAGTTCAGACATCAGTAAGGAAGAGAAGATTCAACTCCTGAGCCTCTCTGCCACTAAGAGGCAGAAGGGAAAGACATGTGGACTGCTGGCAGGCAGTCTTTAATTCACACTGTATCACATGCTTGGACTGGGCTGACACAGTTGCGTTCTGTCCTTAACTTGAGGTCAATAAAAAAGAACCTGTGAGAAAGCAGAATGCAATTACCAATGTCCCTCCATTCTGCTGAGGTGGAAAAAAGCCCATAACAAACCAAAACCAAAAAACCCAAACATAAACCAAACAATTGGGTTTACTGGATATTGAAAACAGTTCTTTAGGAACCAAATTATGTTTTATCTGGAAAAATGCATCATAAAAGATAATGTGTTTAGTGTATGTGTTTCAAATGTGTTCACTACCTCTACAGATTAAAAAAAAAAAAAAGTGGGGCTGTATTCAGAGAAAAGACCTTCCATTGGAGTTCAGTTTGCAGAACAAGAGGTCAAAAAGCTGCATTTGGGGCATTTTACAGGAATCTGTTGAAAACAAGCACCATTTTCATAAAAGTAGTATTTTGGGGAACCAACTTCAACTTTATTGGGTAATTGGTTCAAACTTAAACAAAGGAAGTTCACAGTAGATGTAAGGAAGAAGTTCTTTACTGTGCAGATGGTGAGGCATTGGAACAGGTTGCACAAAGAAGTGGTAAACGCTCCACCCCTGGCAGTGTTCAAGGCCAGGCTGGACAGAGCCTTGGGTGGCATGGTTTAGTGTGAGGTGTCCCTGCCCAGGGCAGGGGGGTTGGAACTAGATGATCTTAAAGGTCCTTTCCAACCCTAACTATTCTGTGATTATGTAATTAAGTTCTCCAAAATCAGTGGGAGCCTCCATTATTTCTGCCAGGCTCAAGACTGTTACACTATGCATATCTAACTTCCAAACTCTTTCCTTCTATCATGAATAATATATACAAGTCTCCCAACTAGTACTTGCTAGGTATGAGCTTGATTGATTTATTTTTCTTCCTATTTTATATGTTCTTCAGTAGGGGAACAGAATAGCTAACAAGCTACATTGTGTACACTTGTCTCAGGGAGACCTGAGCCAGAAGCAGAAGAAATTAGTCCACACAGATATTCACAATTCTTTCTTTAAAGGAAGCTAATTCGTTTGAAACTATCTCAGCAGAGAGTGGCCCCACATCATCTTACCTGAAGGGTATGGCCACAGCTCCACCCTTCTTTCCCCTGCAGGCAGCTTCCTTGGGACAGTGCCCACTATCTCTACTAATAACTAAGCAAATAGTAATGCTCATTTATTGTATAATAAATACCATATGGGGAAAAAAAATGTTCTCTTCAAACACTGAACAGAAATGAAAAAGAAAGGACAGTACACTGTTTAATGAGCCAGGAAGAATAAGCTATTCTCCCTGACCTTGTAATTTCTAGTTTTTGAAAAAATTCTTTCCCCTTCTGTCAATCATGCTTGCGTGTCTGCTGCAGGTCAAAGAAATGTCAGAGGTTGTCATTGCCACTCCTCCTGTTTCTGATCTATGGAAAACAGAGGCACTGCTAAAGAATGGCCAAGAAAATGGTATATCTGCACCTCCAAGAAAAATTCTGTAACACAGCGATCTTTATAAACATTACATAGGTGAGTAGTATTTAATGCTCTGCATAAATATCAGTCAGGATATGGATTCTGGGAGACCTCAACTCTTGCTGAAAATAGTCGTATCTTGAGTTTAAATAAGTTAAAAACACCATAGGGCAGTTTAAAAAGAAACAAAAAGAGTAACACAAACCACACAGATTTCCTAGCAATTATACGAATGAATTCAGACTTAACTAAGATCCCATCAGATTAAATCCTTGAATTGTTAATTTACATGGAGATGCTGTAGTCTTACACAGGATTTTCAAGCGGTTGTTGACAGTGGTTTAAGAGTGGAAGCTGCCTGCAGCATATGCTGTGACAACTGGTGGGTGGGTGGGTTAGAGGCAAAGCTGGGAGGCATCGTTAGGAATATCACCCACTGTGGATCCTTCTCTGTGGGGTGCAGCACATCTCTGAGCAAACTAATCTCTGAACTACATCTTAAATTCTAAGAAAAAAACAGCATCCTTGGTTATAAAATTTTAGAATAACTGATAATCATAATGGTTGGTAAGTGGTTGCAGTGCTTCATTACTCTCACTCTGGAAAACATGGATCTTACTACTAAACTCTATGCCTCATTTCAGATTTTGTAATTATGGGCTGCAACTGAATCCCTTGATATCTGTTACAATGGGCAGATAGTACTGTTCAGATCCTAACCGACTCCCATATGCCAGCTGAAGTACTGAGGAATAAAAGGGTATGTCAGAAGCAAAACGCTACCAAGTGGCAGCAGTCAGATTCTGCTTATCATGGAGCAATGCCTACAGAACACTGAGCCTGGACAACAGCTACTCACGGGGAGAGATCTGCAACAAAGACAAATCTGTTTAATGGCGCCTGTGGGGGCCGATTTGCTGGCAACATGTGCCACTGGGTAACTTCTCATGCGCTTTAGTCAGCGTTATTAGCAATTCGATCACGGGTCTTGCAACACCAGCAGTTTTTCTCGAAGCGCTAGTTACCAACGCATAGTAAGGAAGATCAAGATCCCATTTTTTGAAGTTGGTATTTCATCTTGACGAAGGATCAAGCTGCAAAGATTGAAACAAGCCCCTTAGGGGCTGGCTAACGTGCCAGTGCCAGGGCTACAAGGAGGGACTCCTCGGCGATATTCACTCCGAACAGAAAACTTCCAGCAGACATCCCGGTATGGCACCTCCCGGGTTCTCACCCTCCGAGGCTGGACCCCGCCTCAGAGAGGTAACGCTGCGGGCCACACCGTGAAAGCCAACCGGGCCCGGGAGGGGTTTCTTTCCTCTCTCGCCTACTGCGAGCAAAACGGGTTTCACCGCAGCAGCACAGGAATGACCGCGGACCGGTGCCCCCGCGTCTCGCCCTGCAGGCTCCCCAGGGACTTAGTCCAGCCCGCGGAAGACCCCCAGCAACAGCACCTGCCCTCCGTGGGGCAGCGCCTCCCGCGCCCGCCCCAGCGCTCCCCTTACGCCAACGGCTCCGCCACATAACCCCGCCCACTCCCCCGCCCTGAAATCGCTGGCCGACTTCCTGCGCTCCCGGCCCCGCCCCCGCCCCTCCGCCCCCGCCGCGCCCCAAGCGCTGATTGGCTGCGGGCTGACAATACGCGCGGCAGCGCCCCCCAGCCCGCCCCCCCCCGCCGGCTTCACCCCTTCAGCCACGCGCCGCTAGCCGCGAGCTGGCAGGCGGCGTTAGCGCGGCCGGTACCCGTCTGCTGAGGGGACCCAGCGGGTGGCGGAGCGGGACTCATGGCCGCGTCCAACCGGATGATGCTGGGGCCACTGGTGGGCTCCATCGATCAGGGCACCAGCTCCACTCGCTTCCTGGTGAGCACATCGCGGGGCTTGCGGCGGCCCCCGGGGCGCGGAGACGTACGGGGTGCAGGCGCCGGCCCGGGGCAGCTGCCGATTCCGCTCCTGCATCCTCGCGGGGCCCCTCCGGCCTCTTCTGTGCCCTTGGAGAAGGGCAGGGGGAGTGGGCCGCTCGGGGCCGTGCCATGGCTCTTGTCTCCCGCACTGCACCGGCTCCCTCTGTCCTCTGTCGGGCCGGGGCCACCGCGCCGCAAGAGGAAGCGAGCGCCGGTGGACGCGGGCGGTGGGGAGCTACCGGCCGGCAGTGTTCCCCGGCCATAGGACCCCCGTCGCCTTCCCGCCGCCCTGAGGGGCGAGCAGCGCTGCCCGTACCGAGGGGAGCGGACCGTGCGGCGGTGCCCTCCCGGCCGCCGGGCAAAGCGGAGGGCAGCATTTCTGGGTGCTGCTGGAGGGGGCTGCAAAATCCTGCTGCTTCGAGCAGGCTGTATTTTAAATCTGAAAGGTCTGTCGCTCTGAAGTCAAATGGACAAGGTGCACAGACAGTGGAGAAATAGACACGCGTGGGTTGAGTGACTGTGATTAGCTAGCAGTGTTCAGACAGTGCAATGAATGCTGCGTTACCCCCTAAAACCTACTTGGGCCTGTTGGAATGATCGCTGCAGCTCCGGAGGCTACAACCTTAATGTCAACGTGTCCTGAGCACTGTAGGTATTCAGGTGACTGAACCTGTACACCTTATGAGAGATGGTCTTTTTAATCTCTGGGGGAAGATAGTTTCTTTAAGAATGGGATGATTAATATAATAATAATAATAATAGCCTATATAAGACCTTTAGTTTAAGGATCAAGTTATTTCTCTATTATGCAATAGAAAGTAACTAATGTTGCTATTATATATGAAACTTATAAACTTCCTGCGTGCAAATCTCTACAAATGACCTGTTGCTGAGTCAGTAAGTCATAGTGATTTGACTTAGATCCCACTGATAATTCCACTGTAGAAATGGAGTAGAGAATGACTAGATACAAAATGCTGCCAGATGTGATCAGCTGGGGAGGGCAATGTTTTATCTTGCCCTTGCATTTTTTTTATTTTTTTTTTGGTGTGTGCGTTTGTGTGGTTTGTTTGGTTTTGTGTGGGTTTTAGGGTTTTTCAATGCTTTCCCCATGTGGTATGTTCTTTCATGAAGCTGGAGATTAGAATATCTTCTTGACCTGTGTTACCATTATTACTCAATATCATGACCTTCATGGGATTGTCAAATGACAAAACACAGATCTGAGGGTGGAGGGAAAATCCTGACTGACAAATGACACCAGCAGGCTATCTTGCATGCCAGTCAGGAGTCCTTTTTGGAAAGAATTTGGAGAAGTTTCCTTTAACACCTGAAGATAAACTCTATATGCTTTATGTGTATGCGAGGTTAACCTTTTTCTTGGCATAAAAGGTTAACATTAGCAGAACCAAAAGTGACACAGCAAGCTTTAAATTTATACTCAAGCTCTTTTTACCAGCATTTTGACATGTTCTTCTAACAAGGAATTTCTTGCACTTTCATCAGTGGATTGTATACAGTTGGGAGCTTTTTCTCTCTACATTAGGTATTTTGCCTCTGTTCAAGGATTCAGGTGCTTACATAAATGACATCTTTTTTTTTTTATTTTTTTAAGTGCATTGTGTCTGTCACTCTTCAGTTCTTCTTGTATCCATCCCAGTTTCTCAGTTCATTTCAAAATACAATATTGTCTTCAGTTTGTCAGTGACCAAACTATAATGATAATAAAGTTATGTGAATTTGAGCAAAAAAGATACATCATCACTGAATTAAATCAAAAGATGGGGTAAGGGGAAGGAGAGGGCAGACTGTGCATGGATTTGCTACAAGCTGCATCAGGCATTCAGATAATAACATGTATCTGGAGAATTCTATGCTGGGAAGAGATTGCCACACTTAGAAGAGAGACTTGGCTTTGAAATGTTTTAAACCAAAAAGTAATGTGATTTGCCCAAGTTGTTTTCTTGGCTCTGTTGTTGCCTCTCTATCTTCTACTGAGCTAGTTGTTTTCCATACCTTTTTCTCTTAATCTCTCTACATTATTTTTTTCCTCTAATGCTTCCAACAATTTTCATCTTCACCGAGTCATCAGTCAAAATGAAATTGCTGGTTACTTTGCACATGTCTATCTAGTACAACTGCTACCTTGTTTTTTAAGATGGAAGACATACAACTTTGACCAGGTTAAAGATGAATGGGTGAGAAACTGGCAGGTCCTTTGGGGCTGAAGGATAGTGTCAACAGTTCAGAGTCTAAATTTACAGTTACAGGTGCCAGTTTACAAGCGGTGTTCCACAGCAAAGCAAATACTGGGATAGCCCGCAGTATTTTCATTAACAGCCTGGGGGATGGGGTGAAATGCCCTCCCAAGTTTGCAGATCACCATAGACAGGAGGAACGGTTCATTGGCATTCCAGTTGGAGAAGTGGCCTGGCAGAAGCCTAAGTTCAACAAAGTTCAGCACTTGGGACAGAAGGCTAAGGAGCAGCTTGATGCAAAAGGACCTGGGCTCCTGCTTGGCAAGCAAGTTCAGTAGAAGCGAGCAGTGTGTTCTTGTGCTGGTGAAGATTAACCACATTAGGAAAAGTGCAGACTGTGGATCAAAGAAGTAATTATTGCCATCTGTGTGGCACTTGGGAGGCAGAATCTAGAACACTGTGTCTGGTTTTGACTCCCCTAGAGGCAGAGAGAGTCTGAAGAACTGGATTTCGTCCAGCAGGGGGTCACTAATATGATCGCTGAGCTGCAGCACAAAGCATGCAAGGAGAGGTTGAGAGATAAGGAGCTGTTTCTTCACAGAAAAGTGTAAGAGAGTGTCTTCAGCTAGCAAACCACATCTTGTAGAGAACACAGAACAAGCCTTTTGTCAGAGGTGCACAGAAAATACAACAGGCAATGAACACAAGTTGCAGCAAGTGAAGTTTCAGATAGATGTAAGGAAGAAATATTTCACTATGAGGGTCTCTGTATCAGGGCCACAGAAAGCTTGTGGAATTTCCATCCTTGCAGATACTCAACATCTGACTAGCAAAAAGCCCTGAACAACGTCATCTAACTTTAAATTTAAACTTACCTGAGCAGTGGGTCAGGCTAGACAACCCCCAGAGATTCCTTCCAGAATTAATTATTCTGTGTATGGACACAAGTTCTCCTGCTTATGTGATTGAGGCTGTATGAGCACAGATGATGAAGAAACACCAGAACGAAACTACATTTCTGCTACTGCCACTTATTTATCCTTGCCTCTCACACACAACATACATACAGTTTTAGCTTATGCTGTAGTTTTACCCTCTGGGAACCCTAATTTGGATGTTTGTTTTTTGTTTTCTGCTAAGCTATTTGCTTTTGCAAAATGAACTGTAATTATTTTTGAGATTTGAGTTCTCAACTTTTCTGTGGAGTCTGCATGACAGATTCACTTACTAGGAAGGGCGCAGTGCTTAAAGCAGTGCAATTGCTTAAGGCTCATTTTCTTTAAGATACCAAGCAGGAAAATAAATTGAGTAGGCTATGCAAGTGTACCCAGATGACTAAAGTCTGGTCTAGATGTTTTGCCAAATATTTTCATCAAATATTTGCATCTCTCATTTTCCATTTTATTCAAGAATTGTATAATAAAAATCCATTGTAACTTCTTTTGCCAAAAGCCTTTGGATCATGAGCTAATGGTTAGCCACCACTGGCTGATCTCTTGAAAGGTATTTGCAGGTAACATCTGGCATTTTATCCAGGAGCAAGAAGAATAGAAGTATTCAGTGAAGCACACATACAGTCAAGTACATGTACAGTACTTCAAGTTCTAGCTTTGTCAGTCAGCCCCAATTTTTTTTTCCACCTCATTTCAAAAGAAACATTCAAATAAAGCTGTATCACACTATCAGCATTCTTTTCAGAAAACAAAACCTGGTTTTAGAGAAGTACCTATTAAGCTTGCCCTTCAGAGGGAAACCTGTTTCACCTCTCTACTGAAACAATGTGACATTTTAGGGGAGAAAGCAAAGCTTGATTGTATAGCTAACAGAAGGGTTAAAAATATTGCAAATATTTCAGTTTTTTCCTAGCTCTTAGTTTTTATCACTTCAAGTACATTGCAGGTTTGCTTTTTATTCCTACAAGAGGGAAGAGACACCTGCTTGAAGGGGGGGAGGAGGGAGATCTGTTCATCAGGAGCCTTCCAACCAAGATAATTTCTGGGAAACTTGTTAAACTTATTCATAGTTTCTGCCTGCCTGCTAGGTAAAGTGCTAAAGGTAGGATTATTGTTTGTCATCCTTCCCCCAGTTGGATTTATTTCAATGCAGTTTCAGAACTCGAGCTAGGAGCTTGTTTGCTATAGCTGTTTCAGCTTAACAAAAACTCATGAAGATACAGCATAGGACAACAGAAGTAGGTTTTCTCCAGGCAGAGTTACGTGGCAAAGCTTGACAGTAATCATAGAATCATAGAATAGTTAGGGTTGGAAAGGACCTTAAGATCATCAAGTTCCAAACCCCCTGCCATGGGCAGGGACATCTCACACTAAACCATCTCACCCAAGGCCTCGTCCAACCTGGCCTTCAACACCGCCAGGGATGGAGCATTCACAACCTCCCTGGGTAACCCATTCCAGTGCCTCACCACCCTAACAGGAAAGAATTTCCTCTTAACATCCAATCTAAACTTCCCCTGTTTAAGTTTTAACCCGTTACCCCTTGTCCTATCACTACAGTCCCTAATGAACAGTCCCTCCCCAACATCCCTATAGGCTCCCTTCAGATACTGGAAGGCTGCTATGAGGTCTCCACGCAGCTTTCTCTTCTCCAGGATGAACAGCCCCAACTTTTATTGAAAAGTTACTTCTAATATCTGTTTTCACTATTGTCTTTTCATCTGTGCAGCTTCTTGCTTGACTTCCATAAGCCTCATGTTTCTCTTTGTTTCATATTTGTTTTCATCTTTGGAAATTATTACAATGAATTGATCTGAATTCTTTTCCACTAAGATAATAAAGACTCAACGTAATACCATGCAGCTCTCTGCACCCCTACATATGATGCCATGTGTTATATTACAAACCTTGTGAAGATCAGCCCTTGTGCTTGCTTACCTACAGCACAGCTAAGTATGTCTGTCTTCTCTCTGCTCTTGAGATTTAAGGCTCAAGCTTTAATTCTTTGTATGTTATTTTGTTGTGAGTGGAAGGACTGTGTTATTTATTCTTTTCCTCAATCTCTCACCAGATAATGGAGTACGTATCAGGTAGTTTTCACTGCCTTTCACAGAATCACAGAATCCTAAGGGTTGGAAGGGTCCTCAAGAGATCATCTAGTCCAACCCTCCTGCAAGAGCAGGATAACCTAGAGTACATCACACAGGAACTTGTCCAGGCGGGCCTTGAATATCTCCAACGTAGGAGACTCCACAACCCCCCTGAGCAACTTGTTCCAGTGATCTGTCACTCTCACAGTAAAGAATTTTTTCCTGATGTTCACATGGAACCTCCTATGCTCCAGTTTACACCCATTGCCCCTTGTCCTATCACTGGACATCACTGAAAAAAACCTAGCTCCATCATCCTGACACTCGCCCTTTACATATTTGTAAACATTGATGAGGTCACCCCTCAGTCTCCTCTTCTCCAAGCTAAAGAGTCCCAGCTCCCTCAGCCTCTCCTCATAAGAGAGATGTTCCATTCCCTTAATCATCTTTGTAGCTCTGCGCTGGACTCTTTCAAGCAATTCGCTGTCCTTCTTAAACTGTGGGGCCCAGAACTGGACACAATATTCCAGATGCGGCCTCACCAAGGCAGAGTAGAGGGGGAGGAGAACCTCTCTTGACCTACTACCCACAGCCTTTCTAATGCACCCTAGGATGCCATTGGCCTTCTTGGCCACAAGGGCACATTGCTGGCTCATGGTCATCCTCCTATCCACCGGGACCCCCAGGTCCCTTTCCCCTTCACTACTGTCCAGCAGGTCAGCCCCCAACCTGTACTGGTACATGGGCTTGTTCTTCCCCAGATGCAAGACTCTACACTTGCCCATGTTGAATTTCATGAAGTTCCTCTCCGCCCAACTCTCCAGCCTGTCCAGGTCCCACTGAATGGCAACACAGCCCTCTGGTGTGTCAGCCACTCCTCCCAATTTAGTATCATCAGCAAACTTGCTGAGGGTACATTCAGTTCCCTCATCCAGGTCGTTGATGAAAATATTAAACAGCACTGGTCCCAGCACCGACCCCTGAGGGACTCCACTAGTCACAGACCTCCAGCTAGAGTCACAGACCTCCAGCTAGATGAAAGACCTCCAGCTTTCATGAAATCATCTCTGTTCAAGATACCTCTACATGTCCAGTAGCCTAGACAATTCTTTTGTGACTACTGCTGATAAAATTAAGGCAAAACCCACTTTGTCTTCCCCTACCTCCAGAAGAGAGAGATCACTATCATAAATTGGAACCAGTTCTTAATGAATATGAAAGGAACAAAGGTAGTAACAGAAATATGCTTCAAACCTTTTCCAACAAGAATGTATTAACCTCTGAAATACTTATTGTCACCTATCTCTCTCTCACTACTGTCAGAGAGAAACAAGGACAGATTTTTTGAGTTTTGTCAATTTTTTTTTTTTTTAGGGGGTGGGCAGGGAAAGAGGGGAGGTCACTTTTGTTCTACGTATAGTCCCTCTTTTATAATCTAGGTTCAAATATGACGACCCATTTATGTTTGTCATCCTTTTGTGTATCAGGATTCTATTTATCGCTGTGGAATATGGTATTGTTCCCAGTGAAACTTTTTAATCCCTTGCCCTGAGGTGCAGGGAATGTCTGTTGGCTTTGTTGAGGATGTCAAAGTTCGTGGTTTTGTGTGTGATGGACTAGGAGACTGTGTTTACCTAGTTCTCTATGGGCATGAAGAGATCTAGGCATTTGTAGTGTTACCACTTCTGTTGAGAATTTATTGCTGTTAGAACAGCTTGCTTAGAAGGAGTTAAAAACCTTTGGTGTGCTAGAGCTTCATGCTTTATTATATGTGGGTCCCACACTCCAGGTTCAATGAATGACCTTGTCCAATTGTATTTATTTCCTGCTAACAGTAGGTATCCTTATGCACTGCCTTCTGTTTCAAGAACTAGTGAAGAATTAATGGTGGATGATCAGCCAAATTATATTTTACACTGTTAGTAGGTCAGATAAGTACCAGTTCAATAAAGTCTTCTATCTTTCTATCTTCATTATGAAAAACCTAGTAAATGTTATTGGGCTTTTGGCAGAATTTCAAGTAAAAAAAGTCTTGCTGCATATATGTAAAACTTAATGTCTCAATTAACTATGTTTGATAGTGTTTTAAGACCCCTATTCCATTATATGAGTTCCTTCCAAACATGGTTTCCTGACAGAACTTACCCTTTCATTAGGGTAGCTTAATATCAAGCCTCAGCTGGTAGATGAAACACAGATAAATAAATATGGTAGGAAGAACACAGTGGTGCTTTTTCTATGTAAACTTTCCAACTGGTAACAGAGAAAGATGAATATGTGTCTTTTTAAAACTTCTTTTCTGGGTAGAGGAGGGAAAGTTTAGCTTTTAGTATTTCCCAGAGGTCATGCTGTTGCTGTCCTTTGAGGTTTTCAAGACCTGTGTCAAAAAAGTCCTTGAGCAATCTGGTCTAATCTCATAGCTGACCCTGCTTTGAGGAGGAAGCTGCGCTAGAGATCTCACAAGGTCCCCTTCAGCCTGAATTATTATATTTATTCTAATATAGAACTAGAATGTTTCTAAACTTCAAAATTTCATTTTAAAGATACACTGTAAGGTTTCCAAGAAACTGGAGAACTAGAACTCCGTCTGCTTTTTGTCAGGATTGTCCTAATAATTTCAGAGTAAACTGTACTATCTAAATGAAATCAAGAGTTCATGGATTATAAGGTTTAAGAGCAATTCCTAACATTTGTGGAATAAGAAAAGAGAGTTGACAAGGAAGTCTAGAAAAGATGCAGTTGTATCCTAGAGAGTGGATGGGTATAATGGAATTTTGTACCCTTAGCATGAGAGTGGTTCTTAAATCTGACCCTCCTCTGCTTGCCATAAAAAGATAGGATAGTGTTCTACTGGCATGTTCTGCAGTTCACCTGTGTCTGCTGTTAAATTTTACCTTCTAGGTCCCTGAACGTTCTTCAAGCAAAGATTATGCATGATGCTAATGAGAAAAAGCCATTTTCACAAGAGCATCTTCGTAGCCCAGTCAGTTATGCTTGCTTACCCATTGTACACTTGAGTTGGATGCTTTACTGGGTGACATCTTAGCTTGGCCACAGTCAGTTAGTTACTTTTGGAAACAGTTTACTGTTGGTTAATGAAGAGCATTGTATATTCTAGCTGAGCTTCTACTTCAAGGCAGAGCTTCTAACTTGTGATTCCTTAAGAATAGCCATTAGTACAGACGTCAGGATTCTATACTCTGCTGGGTTTTTTTTATGGTAGTATATCCAAATCTAAGTCACTTTTCTTCAGGTTTTTTTTTTTAGTGTATTGTGCTGCTGCAGTAGCATTCTTTTCTTGTCAGACTGTTCATGAACTCCGTATTTGTAGTTTTGAAAAAAATGGGTTCTAGGTGCTTTTTCTTTCTTCACCATTTAGTTCATTTTGTGATATCTAAACTACACAGTTGTCTTTCTCTGAAAATCACTATTCCAATTATAATTGACAGCATAGCTTACCAAAATATTCTTTGCATACTTTAGTTACTACAATTCATATATCGGAACTGAGGTTACATGGATATGTGGGTTGATGATAGAAAATTAGTATTAATTATAAGAGCACTGTATTTGTTCAAAAGAGTAAATGCTAATTTAGTGTTGTTTAAACTTCTGTGTTCATAGAAAATTTTGTTGTTGTAATTTATTTTCAGGTTTTTAATGCGAAAACATCAGAGCTCTTGAGTCACCATCAAGTCGAGATAGTGCAGAAATTCCCTAAAGAAGGGTATGAGTTTTCTGTGGTTTTTCATTTGTGTACATTTTTGTAGAGCTTATATATTTTTATCTATGAATGATCAAAACTGAAGTTGATTAATAATAACTAAGAATACAGTATCTGCTACGAAAGACTGTGATAGAAAAATTGACATAAAAAACCTCACTTGGGGTGTCTGGTAGATGCTCAGAGTTACATAAACTAAAAATAATTAGTGTTTTACTGCTAATGCTCACTAACATATTTGAAGTTTAAACTTTAAAGTTTACAACTAAAGTTTAAACAAGACTTAAAGTCTCATTTGAAGTGGCAAAGCTGGTCATTTTCACACTTTAGTCATAGTTTTCATCTTCGTCCATATATAATGCTTAGTATATGAAATGGTTTTATTTGATTGATTGTTCTTAGCTCACCTAGCATTTCTGCCAAAGCCTTCTGTATAGAATAAAACAAAAGAAAAAATCTTTGGTATTTTGCAGTTTTTTCTTGTGAAAATACAGTTTACTGTTTAAAAAGGATTTGAAATTCATTGCGCTTTTTCTAGATATGTAAAACATGCTTTGTAGTTATGATTTTGTCAAATGCTCAGCTGTTTTTTTCAGACTAAAATTTCTTTTTTTTCCATAAATGTAATTTTTTTTTGCATTTTTATTAACTGGTGTGTACTCTTTGTTAAAGATGGGTGGAACAAGATCCAAAGGAAATATTAAGTTCTGTCCATGAATGTGTGGAAAAGACCTGTGAGAAACTGCAACAACTGAACATAGACATCACTAATATAAAAGGTATTCATAAAATCATAGAATCATTTAGGTTGGAAAAGACCTTTAAGATCATCAAGTCCTACCATTACCCCAGGACTGCCATGTCCACCACTAAACCGTGGCGCTAAGGGCATCTACTACTTAATGTTAACTGAGGGCTTTAACATACTTACGGTTGAGCAACTAAGACTCTCTAGTTTTTAAGTCAGTAAATAAGAAGGGTGGCAGAATGTGCTGGCTTCAAAGAAAATGTTAAATTGGAATCGAGAGCAGTTTGGGAGGAATGATGAGAAAATAAGTAAGTCCTTTGTTTAGTTTAGCAATGCAGAGTCTACAAAGTAGACTTAACAGAGAAAAGTAATGAATGAACAAATTCTGAAATTTTAATTAGGACTCATTGGGAAAAACAAGTTTCCCTGTCAGTGTTGTTGCTGTCTCAGTTTGTGTAAAAAAAAATAAAAAAAAATATTTAGAGCACATAGGTTAAGCAGCAAAAGGTGAATGATGAGGTTTTCAAAGTAATATTTCTAGATTATAACATGAAAAGGTTGAAAGCTTTTTATTTCCCATTTGCTTTCCTCTTCTCCTTACCAACACCACCATCCTCTCCACATACCCCTTTCCTCACTCACCCCCTAAAAGGGGTAAACAAACCTTCTGAAAAGGATACTTCTTTCCATTTTGTCCTGAAGCCATTGGAGTCAGCAATCAGAGAGAAACAACAGTGGTCTGGGACAAGACAACTGGAGAACCTCTTTATAATGCTATCGGTAACTACTCTACTTTTGAATTATGTAATACCGTAAAATGAGCATGTTGTGAAAAAATGCTTTCCTCACTTCCTGTGCAGATCTCATTGCAGCCAAGCTTACTAACTTCTTTTATTTTTGGATGTCTGTGTCATAAGCTGTGTGTTTGTATATACCAGTGCAATTAAAAAAAACCCAGACTATTCTGTTAGAATTATTACTTAATAAATCACTTTATGTGATTAAAAAAGAAACAGTATTCCTGAGGGGTTTTGTACATCCCTGGCATGTAATGAAGCTCTGAGTTATGCCAGATCAAAATATTCCTTTTAAATGAAGGAGCTTGATACATTTTCAGGATACTTTTTATTTCACTTCCAATGAAAAACATGTTAAGTAGGTTTAATGAAATCTTATTGCTTTTGAGTTCTACTTTTCAGCTTTTCAGATTGTCAGCAGTAGCATAGTATCATTGAAAAACCAGGAATCTTCTATATTCAAATCTGTGCTGCTTTATCTTAAGCAGCTTTATCTTATACAGCTTTATCTTAAGCCCAGCTGTACCTTGATAACTCTGATGTCGCACTTAAGTTCAAAGTTTTCATAGGTGTAGTAAATAATCAGCCTACTATTTGTTTTAACCTCTTAGTTTAATGACAGTCATCTGCTCTAAACAAGGTATTATTAATAATTTTCTTGTGCTCCAAAAGAGCAAAGTATATATCCTATTATGTGGAGTATCATATTTGATTTCTCAGGTTGTTTGTTCTTCTAAATCAATGAGTTTATCTAACCATTTTCAATTTTTACAACAGTGCATTTAAAATACAATGTCAGTACAGTATTGTTCCAATGACATGAAAAGCTAAAAAAAAAAGAAGTCAGCAGTTTACTGGCAAGAACTCTGGTTTTGTAGAATAAGCTTGTACATATCACTTCTCGTGTACTAAACCAGTTGATCAGTTCATATATTAATGGTTTCAGTGTGGCTTGACCTGAGAACCCAGGCAACAGTTGACCGTCTTCTTAAAAAAATTCCAGGAAAAAACAAATCCTTTTTTAAGGTAAGATATATTCCAGAACAGTTAAATTGTAGCTCAACTCTTACTGCTACATTATATAACGTTTTGAGATGAGTGCTTATAATTCCCCAAAACAAAGTAAATCAGTTGTAGCTTCTAGTCCCTTTTTAGCTTGTCAAATAATAAAAGATGTGCATAATCCTATACACCAATCTGAGACTGGAAAATGTTTATTTTCCTCAAAAGAAGTGGTTAAAACTCCTTACATATCTCAGTACAGAAGTTAAATGAGTAATCTTTCGTGAGACTTAATCATGTGCTATCCAATGGTAAGTAAACATCACACACAAAAATTAACCGCAAGTAGAAAAAAAAAAGTTTTGAAAGTAATTTATTGGTGAAAAATTGTTATCCTTTCTCATGACTTAATGAAATCAATTGCAACCAATCTGAGAACTGGGAAGATAGTTCATAGAAAACAAATTCATTCTTTTTTATATGTGGATATATATATAAAAACAGGTGTCATAAATCTGTGATTTATATTTTCCTTGATTGATTGTATAAATTGTATATATTTTCTGTATATATGTTTTCCAATAGGCAGGAAATGGATGTCAAAAAGCATAGAAGCGTATCTGATTTTCAGTTGAATGCAAATTCCATCTTTTCTGTGTTGTGCTACTCATTTTTGTTATCATTACTTGCTGTCTAGTCATATGGGGATATCCTAGATAAGACAGGACTTCTGCAAACAACTGTTTCCATGTAAACGATCTTTGACTTGCATTTAGAACAGCTTTCATCTTTGTCCATTAATGCACTGATCATTTGTTTATATTTTCAGACTTGTGTGTTGTATGGTTAGTATTCATCTAAATAACAAGTTTGTGCAATTTCTCAGAGTTTTGTGTCTTTGGTTTTTCACTTACAATCACCATTTTTAAATGCAACTACAATATTAATGGAAAAGATACTTGTACGATGTTTAGGTGATTTTTTTAATTTTATTTTAAAGTTTAGGACTGGTCTTCCACTTAGCACTTATTTTAGTGCAGTAAAACTTCGATGGCTTTTGGATAATGTGGAAGAAATTAAGCAAGCAGTTGGTGATGGAAGAGCTATGTTTGGGACTATTGACTCATGGCTTATATGGGTATGTATTTGTGAGTTTATTATCACTCTTTTTAAAATTAATTTCCATATCATACAAATTCTTGTGCAATGTACTGTGACATATGATGCCCAGTGATCACGCAGTGATGTGGATACAAGCCACTACAGAAATGCCGTTAAAGTTCCATAGAATCACAGAATAGTTAGGGTTGGAAAGGACCTTAAGATCACCTGGTTCCAATCCCCCTGCCATGGGCAAGGACACCTCACACTAAACCATGCCACCCAAGATTCCATCCAACCTGGCTTGAACACCACCAGGGATGGAGCATTCACAATTTCCCTGGGCAACCCATTACAGTGCCTTACCACCCTCACAGTAAAGAACTGTATCCTTATATGTCATCTGAATTTCCCCTGTTTAAGTTTTAACCCATTCCCCCTTGTCCTATCACTACAGTCTCTAATGAAGAGTCCCTCCCCAGCATCCTTATAGGCCCCCTTCAGATACTGGAAGTCTCCACCCAGCCTTCTTTTTTCCAGGCTGAGCAGCCCCAACTTTCTCACTCTGTCTTCATACGAGAGGTGCTCCAGTCCCCTGATCATCCTCGTGGCCCTCCTCTGGACTTGTTCCAACAGCTCAATGTCCTTTTTTTGTTGAGGACACCAGAACTGCACACAGTACTCCAAGTGGGGTCTCATGAATGCAGAGTAGAGGGACAGGATCACCTCCTTTGACCCGCTGGTCACGCTCCTTTTAATGCAGCCCAGGATACATTTGTCTTTCTTGGCTGTGAGCACACACTGAGGCTGGCTCATGTTCATTTTCTCGTCAGCCAACACCCCCAAGTCCTTCCCTGCAGTGCTGCTTTGAATGTCTTCTCAGCTTAACCTTTAGCTGTGCCTGGGATTGCTCCGACCCAGGTGTAAGAACTTGCACTTGGCTTCGTAGATCTTCATGAAGCTGACATTATCTCACCTCTCAAGCACGTCAAGGTCCCTGTGGATGGCATCCCTTCCCTCCAGCATATCAGTTGAACCACTTAGTGTCATTGCAAACTTGCTGAGGGGGCACTCAATCCCACTGTCCATGTCACTGACAAAGATGTTGAACAAGACTGGTCCCGACACCAACCCCTCAGGGACACCACTCATTACTGGTCTCCAGCTGTACATTGAGTCGTTGACCAAAACTCTCTGCGTGTGGCCATCCAGTCCATTCTTTATCCACTGAGTAGTCCATTCACCAGATTGATGTCTCTCCAGTTTAGAGACAAGGATGTCATGTGGTAAATCCTACTAGATGAAGATTTTAAGGTCCCTTTATTACTTTTTTTTTTTTTTGGTAAATGTTTATGTGTAGTTTACCATTCATAGGTTGCTGTTAGATTTTGCTCATGCTTTTGGAAAAGCCTCGGACTTCAGAAAGCTGCATCAGCCACCTTTGCAATATAAGAATCCAGGAGGTACTGTTGTAACCCTATTACCTCTCTTGTGCCTTTGTTCCACTGTAACAGGTCTGCCTCTTTAGTTGTTGGAGAAATACAGAATTCCCAGTTCCAAGCTGAAAGCATTGTGAAATCAGAAATATTTTTTTTTAAATTTCTTTAAGTAAATTTCTATCTTTGCTTGGTGAATACTGTTAATATATTTTTTGTTCAGAGTTTGACAGGTGGAAAGAATGGAGGTGTTCACTGTACAGATGTAACCAATGCCAGCAGAACAATGTTGTTCAACATTCATTCCTTGGAATGGGATCCTGAACTCTGCCAGTAAGCTCAGTTTTTCAGTAATGCTGTTATTTAAATAGATTCTATAACTGTTGTGTGAAGAGATTAATTTAAGAGTAAGAACCTCTTTATCTAGACTACGACTGACAGTTACTCTTGCATTTACTGTTAGTAAATTACATTAGTAGTTAAGATTCATTGTTGTCCAGATGTCCAAATTGCAACAGCCTAGATTAATTAAAAGTAGCAGATTTTTTCTGTAGGTGGAAGACTGGTTCATGGAAACGATGACATTTTATAGTTTCTTTATACCTTAATTAGATTTGTAAGTTGCTTACAGTGATAGTGTCACTATTTTAAATTTAAATTTATTAACAACGATATTATAAAGATACTGCTGGGAGAGGAATGACTTCCCACAAGAAAGACTTGCATATGTCTTCAAAATATTCAAATATATAGAATCATAGAATAGTTAGGGTTGGAAAAGACCTTAAGGTCATCTAGTTCCAGCCTCTCTGCCATGGGCAGGGACACCTCACACTAAACCATGTCACCCAAGGCTCTGTCCAACCTGGCCTTGAACACCGCCAGGGATGGAGCATTCACAACTTTCTTGGGCAACCCATTACAGTGTCTCACCACCCTTACAGTAAAGAATTTCCTCCTTATATCCAATCTAAACTTCCCCTGTTTAAGTTTTAACCCGTTACCCCTTGTCCTATCACTACAGTCCCTAATGAAGAGTCCCTCCCCAGCATCCCTATAGGCCCCCTTCAGATACTGGAAGGCTGCTATGAGGTCTCCACTGGTTTACTCCATAATTACTCCATAATTCAGTGTCATGTACTGTAACAAGTGGAAAAACACAGTGATGGATTAAATCCTAGAAGTCAAATTTCCTTTTACATTTGGTTTTCTTTTTTTCTTTAAAATTTTAACATATTTAAGAAAATAAATGCAAAATGCTTTCTGCTTTAGCACTGACCACATATATATAAATTATTTTGTACTGTGTTCAGGTTCTTTGATATTCCTATGGAAATACTCCCAAAAGTACGAAGCTCCTCTGAGATTTATGGCCTGATGGTATGTTTTCTTGTGTTGTGTGAAGTTAATCTTGTAAAAATATGACTATATCAATATAGATTTGTCAGAGTTCGCATAGATTAAGACTAATGGCTTTTTCTAGACCAATATTGTTTGATTTATGATTAGTGTGTTATCTACTGTATAATATTAAATTGAGTATTTCTTGTTTTCTAAGTATCAAATAGACAAAACAAGATGGGAGAGGTTTTTGGTAAGGATGAAAGTTTTATTTTTTTATTACAGTTACTTACTGATTTAAAAAGTACCTTTCAGAATGCTATGTTTAATCAGTACATTGAAAGAATGAGATTGTTGTTATTAGAGCAAAGTATTTTTACTTCTGAAAAGAAATGATGAAAGACACCATGGAAGTCTTCATGATCTAAGAAGGCTGGACAAGATGTATGATGTCTTATTTCCACATAACCAAGGGCAAGATTGATCAGTTTTTGTGAACTGGAAAATCACAAGTAACACCTTAGATTGCTTTCTTTTTGAAAAACAAACTTCTTTTCTTGTGTGTATATTTACATAGCACTTAATCAAAACATGATTTGGAAATATGTCTTTTTAATCCTTTTTTTCTAATCACACAGTTTTCCAGTGCAGCTGTGAATATCAGGAGTAAATCATTCACTGTTATCAAGTGACTTGAGGTTTCAAGTTTACTTTAATGCAGCACCAACTGGTCTGATACATTGGCATCTAATTTGTTTCAGAATCAGATAAACTGGATGTTGTGATTTTGTATTCTTGGTAGTTTGCTCTGTTGTTTACGAAGAACATAGACAAGCATTTTATAATTAAGACAAGTTATGCGAATTTTATTTAAAATATAATTCTAACTTGCCTGGCATGTAAGTATGTTTACTAATCTGTTAATGGAGATGCCACTAGAAGTCATTGTTGACTGTTAATAATGTGAGGGTAGGATGAAAGTTAGTTATATTAAGCTGAATGAGAGAGGTAAATGGAAACAGCAGGGAAACCTGGCAACTGAAACACTATTGCTGGTCACTTTAAATATGAACTTTTGTTTCTCTTCCCCTTTCCTTCCATTTTTTTTTTCTTCCTTTTGCTGACTGTAGAAAATCTGTCCTAGCCTGGTGAGTAGAGGCTTCCATTAGGCTGAACACCTACATCTTATCCATTCTGTTCAGATGCTGTGCATGTCCACTGGTTTCAGGATTAGTAAAAACACACTTCCCAGACCAATAAATTTGGCACGTATTTCCAAATTTGAGATACTACAATTAGAGTTCATGCCAAAGTTGTTTCTAAAATGTAATCTTGATGTATGCTTTTGCCTTAATTTGCAGGCTGTTGAATATATCTTTTTATGTTGAAGTAAAAAATACAGCTACTGGCTATCAAATGTCTTGTTTTATAAATGAGAAAAATGGGCCATTCTGTCTACGAACATTCATTCTGTTATAATGAAATATCAGATTCAGGCAGGGATTTTTAATGCATTTATAAACTGAATTACCTAAATCCAGTTAATTAAAAATGAGAATTAAAGAAAAAGATTCATATTGGAAATGCACTGCATGGCTTCACTGCAAATGGATTTCACAATTGCACAAAGAAACAGGTTAAAAAAAAGGTAAAAATTGTCAGGATATAAATTTCTGATGATATCTGTTGCAAAAATATAACTAAAAAACTATGTGGTAATGTTTGCACAAATTCTATATGAGACTTAAAATGCTGTGTTAAATGAGGTGTCTGTTTTTGCTTAGTGTGTCATCACAGCCACTTTTTTCTGTCCACTATACCATTTTGCACTTTTGCATTTTACACTTGACACTGGTTACACAGATGACACGGAACCTAATTTTCTGTCCACTTTGATTTCAACAAAATTTGTGTTAAGAAATGTTGAGGTGGCATTAGACCTGTGAATTTCCTGCTGGTTTTTAGTGTTATAGTAATGAGCCGCATTAAGCTGAAGTCCGTTGCATACCCAAGCTGAGCCATGTTGCTTTCATGACCCTTCTTTGTTTTCCTTTGAGCATTAAAAGTTTAGCTTCTTTTTCATTGTCTTCAACTGTAATCATGGAAAGCTAATTGGGAGCTTTTCTTTCTCTCTTTGTGAATCAGAAATCTGGAGCTTTGACAGGTGTACCAATTTCAGGGGTAAGTCCTACTTCAATTCAGATTCTGGGATAAGAACCTGTTTCTGCATGAACAAATCATCACTGGGAAAAGCTTTAACATGGGGGAATCCTGCTACAAATTAAGTTGATATTTTTTTACTTCATGTTAATCATGAACTAAACTATTGAAGTTGAATTATTAATTGATTAGATTCTTCATTATTAAGTTATGGTCTGGCTGTGGAAATACATCTGATGGCTTTAATGCATATGTGTAGTGCTGTTGCAAACTTAGGATCTCTGAGTAACATTACAAAATGGAAAGAAGCCCAGCTTTATATGTAGAAAGAGTTCAGTATATACATAATCCAGAAATGCTGAGCAGACTCTCAGCTTTTTTTCAATACAGTATGCACAAAGATAATAGATTTTTATTTTTATTTCTTTAAATTGTTCACCATAAGTTTTATGCTGGAGAGAAGGAATGCCATCCAGAGGGGCTTCGACACGCTTGTAAGGTGGGCTGATGCCAGCCTTATGAAGTTTAACCATGCCAAGTGCAAGGTTCTACACCTGGGTCAGAGCAATCCCAGGCACAGCTACAGGTTGGGCAAAGAAGAGATTCAGAGCAGCCCTGCAGGGAAGGACTTGAGGGTGTTGGTTGATGAGAAAATGAACATGAGCTAGCTTCAGTGTGTGCTCGCAGCCCAGAAAGCCAACCATACCCTGGGCTGCACCAAAAGGAGCGTGACCAGCAGGTCAAAGGAGGTGATCCTGCCCCTCTACTCTGCTCTCGTGAGACCTCACTTGGAGTGTTGTGTGCAGTTCTGGTGTCCTCAACATAAAAAGGACATGGAACTGTTGGAACAAGTCCAGAGGAGGGCCACGAGGATGATCAGGGGACTGGAGCACCTCCTGTATGAAGACAGGCTGAGGAAGTTGGGGCTGTTCAGCCTGGAGAGGAGAAGGCTGTATGGAGACCTCATAGCAGCCTTCCAATATCTGGGTGGGGACTATTGGGATCCTGGGGATGGACTATTCATTAGGGACTGTAGTGACAGGACAAGGGGGAATGGGTTAAAACTTAAACAGGGGAAATTCAGATGACATGTAAGGATACAGTTCTTTACTGTAAGGGTGGTGAGGCACTTGAATGGGCTGCCCAGGGAGGTTGTGAATGCTCCATCCCTGGCGGTGTTCAAGGCCAGGTTGGACAGAGCCTTGGGTGACATGGTTTAGTGTGAGGTGTCCCTGCCCATGGCAGAGAGGCTGGAACTAGATGACCTTAAGGTCTTTTCCAACCCTAACTATTCTATGATTCTATGATAAGTAGCATGACACATTTCATTTGCAGTTCTTATAAAGGGAAGAATAGTAAAAAGCACAGGTTGTCTTTGCAGATTTCTCCTCACTTCCAATTACCTGTGTGCTCCTAGTAGATTAAAGTTCATCTGTTCGTGTTCTTTTTCACGCATGTGATCAGTGTTGGAGACATTTGCTAAAAAACCCAATCATCTCTCTTTTCAGTGCTTGGGTGACCAGTCTGCTGCTCTTGTTGGGCAAATGTGTTTTCAAGATGGGCAGGCAAAAAATACGTAAGTTATTATGGAAGTAGAAGATAAACACACTGTTTAGTTTCGAGTTTAATACTGTGTTCCCTTTCAAGCTAACTGCCGAATGCTTTTGTGTTTCTCCCGTAACTACATCTCTACCGTTTGACTCTATTGACCTACAAAGTAAAGAACGTCCTGACTTTTGTATAAAATAGTGGCCATGTATGTTAGATTGCATAGACTTGCATGACACATACCCCTCATCCTTGCTAGACAGGAAAGGTTCATTTCAGTTGCATTCCTTGGTTTTGCTTCTGTCTCTAGCTCAGAGCCTCTTAGTGTCCCTCAGTTAAAACAGATGGTCAGTTAAATCAGGCAACTGGTGTAATCAAACATTCATTTGAGTAGAAGCTCTGATTAAATGACTTACTGCTCCATTTACAGCCATGTGCTTAACTGAGCATGTAGGTACATACACAGTATGGCACTTTCACAGATTTAATTGCACATAAATCTATACTTATTGCTAATAAACCTTCACTTTATCTTTTATATTTATACACCAATGTAATGGCTACTGGCCTTGTATGTTAGTAAAACAAACATGGTTCTAAATAATGCTGTCACAAAATATTTTTATAAGAAACACTTTTATAATGCAAGAGACCTTTTGAGAAAAAAAAAACCAAACCAACAGCAACAAAACAAAACCCCACCCATACAGCTAAACAAAATGGTAAAAGCAAGACTGGGGGGGGAGGGTTAACCTGTTTATGTTATTGCTTTACCATTTTTCTCTCCAAATATAACTGAAGACTCAATACTATTTTAAGCTATTAATTTTCAGGGTATTAGGAAGGTAGGGAACTAGTAATTTCTTAGAATAAATTACAGTGGATTATGAGTAATTAAATTTTATTACTTTGTGTCCTTATATGTATGTGTATACACACATATAAGTGATGCAGTCTTTGAATGACAGGAACAAAATTTCTTTAATTTTTCCCTTTAAAAGCTTGAATTTAGTATTGTGAAATATTTATTTTATGAAGTAGCTTTCATAATCATCTTAAACTGAAGTCGGTAAACACTGCCACCAAAGAGGAATTCTCACATTTGCAGCTGTACTAATCCTTGATAAAGTATTATTCAAGAAATAGTCACAGAGAGACTTGGGACTGGATTTTTCAGCTGCAGAGTGAATTTAAATCAACTTTTTGAGAATGATTTTATCATCAGTTAATGGTAACATAACTGTCAAGAGGCAAAAAGTGGTGTCTTGACTGTACAAAGGGGAGTTGCAGATTCATGAATTACAGTAACAGGTTATCCTTTAAGCATCCTGGTTTTAACTTGTCTTTGCTTTCGTACTAGGTATGGAACAGGATGTTTCTTGTTGTGCAATACAGGTCAGAAGGTCAGTTGAATTTTTTTAGTTCACTTATTATTTTACAATCTTTATTTAAGCTCTGGAACACAACTGTGTATTAGCCTTTCTTATTAAAAACACATTGCTAGAGATAAGGAAAAGCGTATGCTGAAATCTGAAAGAATAGAAAGGAATAATTTATTCAAGGTGTTTCAGTAAGACTCCATTTCCTAGCTCCTTTAGTTTCAAAAAAACCACCTTTTCATAACAAGTTTCTTGTTTTTTCCTTGGATATGTTTCTTAATATCACCCAGAAGTGCTGAGTGTTTTGTTACTCAACCACATGCTTTTCTCCTTGTGTTGGCTTTTTTATTTCTTCCATTCATTTTGTCCCATTGTTTCTTTGCAGTTGAATAAACAGTGGAAAGCTTTGGCTTAGTTCTCATTCACGTCTCCTTCTAAAGACCCCGATTCTTTATTATGAGGAGGCTAGAAAGATCTAAGGCAGTTTACAGAAATGAGAGTTAACACCAGTAATCTGAGGGATCTATCTTAGATGTTTGTTTAGAGTGGCTGATAATTTACATCATTTAAACCTTCCCTATTTTTTTTCTTTGTTTATTGTTTATTATAATTTGTCTCATTTATTATAATTTGGATATTTTTATTTAACTATTTTCTGCCTCTGTTCATGCTTTTCCTTTTCTTTCCCCCTTCCCCGTTTAGTCTGTATTTTCTGAGCATGGTCTTCTAACCACAATAGCTTACAAACTGGGCAGAGACAAACCTGTTTGTTATGCACTAGAGGTAAGTCCAGTAATTATTCTTTTTTGTAGTGATACATGTTCTTGTTTACTTCTCTAGTATCTTATGTTATCTTCAGTTGCATGGAAATAAAAATAACTGTTTTAGCTTGTGTGCCTCAAGGCTTGGTTTTGGTTAGCCTTATCTCCAATCTGTATCATGTAATCTAATAAAAATATTTCTACATTGCATCACTTATATTTTCAGGGCATGATTGCTAAAACTTTTTTCATGTTACATGGTCTTTTAAATATGTAATAAATGTAAATAAATGAAACAAAAAATCTTATTTTAGAAGTAGGCTTTAAAAAGAGAGGGAAAAGTACTAGTGTTCCTCTCATAATAAAAGTCATAACTAAATATCTTTGGTTTTTATATCATTCTAATGGATTTTACTTCTAACTTTTAAAAATCTAAATCAAATTTCTGGGGCAAGAAGCCTCTAAAAATTGAGCTTTTTTTACCTACTGAGACTTAAGTACCTACTTCCAGAATTTAGTTCTTCAGTTCTCCACACAACCCTGAGGGTATCCAAATACTGTAGAAAATTGGATTTTTACTTTAATTTCAGGATTCATTGCTCTAAAGCTCCGTTTCTGAAGCACAGATCACCTAAGTACCTATTTGCCACCAAACCTTCATTGGGAATAACAGAACTCTTCCGTCTGTGTTGCTTAGTGGGCTTGATCTAATAGTTATTCTCAAAACATGCATACTGTATTCTCTGCTGACATTAAGCTTTTGTACAAAGCCTACATTTTCCATGTGAAACAGACACACAGGATTTTCTTCTTCGGGAGAACAGTTTGTGGCTTACAGTACTTTTCTAAGATGTAGGAGCCTGTATACCTTTCCTTTTCCTTTCTTAAGGAAAGCTGATCTTGCATTTGCCATCTTCTGACAAACTTTGGGGTTTTCATTTTGTGCGGGGGTATGAGAGGTTTGTTTTATTTTTAACACATATTCTTAAAGCAATAACTGAAACCGTCGCGAGAGTGATTTGTATTTCTGCATGCTGAAACATGAGCATGTGTACTTTGCTTCTTCCTCATCCACAAGTCTCTAATGTTACTGTCTGAAGAAATGGCTTCAGCAGAAGATATTAAGCATCTTTTCTCCTGTATCCATGCTAGAATCATCTACAATCTTCTGGTTTAGATACTACACCTGGGCAAAAAATGTGGATTCAGCCTTTTCATCAAAGCCATATCTTGTAATTGTAATAGCTGGTTAGAAAACACTTCTACTCTTTCTTCACAGTGGCTTTAGATGAAAATATGATGCTGCTCCATTTTACTTGAAGGTTAGTCTAGTAGACTTGAGACTGTCTTGTAGAGAAAACCATTTGGACTTTGGAATGAGATGGGAGCTATGCCTTTTATCTGTAACGTGATGGAACCATTCAGGGCTGTTCGCTGAGGCAACAGAGTGATTTTGCTGGCCCATACAAGTACCTACATTTCTGTCTCGTCATTTGTATTTAAGTTCTAGACATAATCTGTCTTGTATTTTCAAATCAAAGCATAAAAATCTTAATTTGTCAGAAAAAGAAGGATGAGGCTACTGGACCTCATAATGGTATGTTCAGGAGAAGACCTAAATTAGACAGAAAAGAAGTCTGCTTAGGAAATGTCATGGTAACTGCCCCCATAGCAAAAATCATGCAATACATACCATTTACTACATGAAGCCTGTGTAACAGGCTGCCAGTTTTATATGGCAGTCTCCAGCTGTCAAGAAACTTGTGGTTTGGTTGTGAGCATTCTTGGAGTGCTGAACCTGCAGCTGGAGACCACAGCTACCTTTCATCTCCAGTCTTGTAAAAAGGAACAGGAAACTATCAGTTGTCATCTCCTAATGTAGTGATTTTGTTTCTTTCAGGGATCTGTTGCAATAGCTGGTGCTGTTGTTCGTTGGCTGAGGGACAATCTAGGTATCCTTAAAACTTCACAGGAAGTTGGTAAGTATTCACAATTTGGAGCTTAAAGTTTTAAGTTCTTAAATTTTTCATATTTCTTGATGTCTGGAATGTTTGCAAAGCTGCTACTTAAAGGAATTGTAGAGGATGATAATCCATTTTGGCTAAGAATACATTAATCCTTTAACATTTGGGTAGCTAATGTTTTCTGCTTGAGCTCAACTGAAACAACCTGGAGCATGACATAGAAACTAGGACTATATCAGACTTTGAAAAAGGAAAGTATGCAGGTGTAGCAGTTTGGAAGTGACTGATTTATGAGATTTAGGATTAAAAAGCAATTGCTTTTGAAAGAAGTTTTGAATAAATTTTCCTACTTCTTCTTTATTGCTATGTTTCTCTGATCATTGCAAACAGAATAAATTTTAAAAAGCAGAAAAAAACATTTTCCTTTCTTCTTAGAGGAAGGAGCTGCACATTAGCATTACATCCTCTTCAGATCTAGATGTTTTAATGTAATTTTTTTAACTCAAAAATATTTTAATATTGGGGAGTTCAGATATCCAAAGTTATTATTCAGATATTAAGAAGCTTCAGATTTCCTTGTAGCTAGACTTGTGATTATATATGTACGCTGAGAATTTAGAACTCTAAATCCATTTGAAATTAATGAGAATTTAATTCTTAACTCCCTTTGGTCTTGATCCAGTTTCAGCTGCTTGCCTTGACTTAGATGCAAGTAAAGTGTGACCATTTGCACTGCTCTGAAGGTTGCATTCGTTACCCAGATGATGCCCTTTGAAAACCACACAGAATCTATGTCAGAATATTGAGTACACAATTTTGGTTTTCAGTTTTGATTTTTCATTTTACATTTCCCACAACTTCCTATGCCCCATCTTCCATTCACATTGTTACAAATGGACAACTAGTCAATAAAAAGCAGAGTGCCAGAATTAGTTGTATTTTCTAATTGCATGTGGCTTTATTATTCTTGTAGCTGCCTGTCATATTCTGAGTATTTTCCCTATGTAACTAATAACACCCTCAAGTGTCATATTTAAGTTCTGGTACAGTTGCAAAAAGCTAAATGAAGACTGTTTGTGTGTGTGCATTAGAAAAACTGGCTGCAGAAGTGGGGACTTCTTATGGCTGCTACTTTGTGCCAGCATTTTCAGGACTATATGCACCATACTGGGAACCCAGTGCAAGGGGGTAAGAATCTGACTAAGCACTGTGTTTGCAGGGAGATTTAATTTTACAAATACTTTCACTAGTCCTTCCAGGTATATGAAATTGTTATTTTTATTCCTGTGATGTGTCATGATACATCATTCTCTGTGGTATCTTCAAGGAACTACCGTGTTTCTCTTTCGTATTTAACCAGTTCAAAATAGCAGCTGCTACTAGAAGAAAAAGGATCAGCTAGTTCAGCTACTCGCTCTCCTCTCCCCGCATCCAAAAAAAACCTGGGGAGGTGAGCAGGGAAAACATTTGGGCTCGGTTGTGTGTTTTACAGGATAAGTACAAGATAGTTTGATCATTCTTGCCACTAATGAGGCCAGCTTTTTTTTCCACATGCGTTTCTGTTTCTGAAAGGATATTTATCTCAGTAAAGAGCAAGGGGGGGTCTGCATAACTGTGAGCTCTCAGGCAAAAAAAAAAGCAGAAAGTGAACAATTTAGTTCTGATGAATTTTTTTGAGCTCAGTTTCCCATGGCTGCTGCATTCACTATCACAAATGATACTGGCTACTTAACTTCTCCCCATTTCTCCTCCCTCTCCTTCTCCAGCTTTCTTTCCAGTCTGTTGAACACTCTTTTCTCCTTTCCTTCTAGTCCCTTTCCTGTAGTTAAGATTTAACTACCTGGTACTAGTTAGAACTACTAGTTCAAACAATTCTATTTGTCTTTTCTGCTATTGTGAGCTTGGAAGTCACAGTATAACAAATCTAAACAGAAAATAACTTTCCTAAAATGAGAAAAGAAATCTTAAAGAATATCAAGTTCTGAGGGTTTAGAATAGTTGTATCTTTCTAATTTAGATCCTTTTTTGTACATAAGAAATAAAAAAATCTTTGAGTTAGCTTTTTTACAGTTTTTTAGATCAAGTGCTTAACTGTTCAACTGTTAAAACCTGATCTTTGGAATGACAACTAAAAATGTCCTTTAATATATTTGAGCTTATATCTATCCCACACCAAATGTAGCAGCATTTCTGTGTAGTACACTATTATTCCTCAGATGTTGAAACAGACTAAAAGGATAATTATTTGCTCTGTGGTTCAGAGTACATTGACAGAATTCAGGATATTTATGGTTAGATTATTTTTGTATCCAAAAATCTCTTTGAAAGTGCAAAGTCAACTACTGATCAGAATAGATCTGAAAACAATTTTAAGCATTTAGAGCACAGCAGTGACGCAGCTAGGCTTTTCCGTAAGAACTGAAAACTCTAGATAATTTATGAAGATTTTAGTCATAGGTGGTATCATTTTTTAAAGAAAAATCAGCAGTGATCATTCAAGACTAGAATTTGTGTGTGTATAGGTGAATATGCACCTATCTGCATGTAGATTGGCAAAAAAAAATTTAATTTATGGCAGTTGTATTGATTGGACACTGAACACATTTGTCAGGAAAATAGTGTTGAGATTTTTGATTAAAGATAAACAAGCTTGCTAATATGAAAAAGTAGTGCTCATACGATAGAACTGAATGAGCTTTGAATTAGAAGACCTAGACCTGAAGCAATGATATATGTCTGGAGAAGAAGTATGTCCTAACTGGTTGTTGTTTTTTTTTTTTTCTCAACAGTATTATCTGTGGCCTTACTCAGTTTACAAATAAAAACCACATTGCCTTCGCTGCACTAGAAGCGGTTTGCTTTCAAACACGAGAGGTAAAGGCAGATTGGGTCCTAAATACATTGTAAATTAGTGTGTTAACAGCAACTATAGTTCTTCAGGAAGAGAGAGGATTGAAAACATTTAATGAAGATTAATCATATGCTTTATATTGTACTTGGATGCTAGTCTTCTCTTTACGTGGTGCTGATGTTGAAAAATTGTTCTGTGGTCTTATTCTGTGGTGTGGTTGGGTGGTGCATTATTTTGGGGTGGCAATGCTGCTATTTTTCAGCACTTAAGGTGATTCTACTTTGCAAATATTTTGAGAAGTAGAACATAGAAACATTAAAATGACAAGGCCAGTGCCATAACTAAGAAGTCACATTAATGTAAAAGACTACATTTTATATTGTTTGCTGTGATGGAGATGGCTTACATTGCTTCTGGCATACAATAACAAAAATAAGTTAAAGCAAGACAGCAGCAAACATACCAATGGAAATCTGGATTCACTTCATACCTGTTACATCTTGCATTGCCTTAGCAGGCATCCTGCAACAGCAAACCTAAATTGTCACAGAAGAAATAAATCCTCCAACTGAATCAAAGGGTTTGATATCAGTGTGTTCTGATCATTAGAATCTTTATATCACCATCTACTATCAATTTACACTTCCTGTGTTCCAGTCAAACACAGGAGAAATCCCTTGACCCTAAAGGATAACAGTCAAACCTGAATTATTTAAACATACCAAGTTTTTAAAGTAACACTCAGCTAACACTGTGTGAGAGGAGGAAAGCAGCTTGCTGTTTCTGTAGTGACATAGAGTAAAAAGTACTCATGTGGAAAAAGCCCGAAGTTTCACCTAAATGTCTGCTTTTTAAGCTGTGCTAACAACCTCTGAGTACTCAGAAAGTTGTGAAGGAGTTTGGTGGTATAATTCAGGGTAAAGTTACAGTAAACTGAACTGATAGTCTGGTTTGTTGCGTTCTCCTCCCTTTCCTTGTCCCTCCTCTCATTCATTCCCTCTCATGTGACAGCTCAGTGAACTTTCCAGCAGAAATGATCCCTCTTTCTGCTGGGCTGTTTTTCTGCTGGATTACTGATCTCAGCTGCCTTGCAGAGGAGAGCAGCAAATGTCGGAACAAGAGACCGGGCATGTCACTGGGAGTAGGAGGGAGGGGAATAAAGCTGACTGGCTGAGGGTGACATTAACTGTTAAACAGACCTAATACTTCCTCATACTTTAGTCAATGTACTTTTATCACAATGACAGGAGTGCCTGAGCAGGTCTCTGGACACAAATTAACAAATTCAATCCTAGTGACACAAATAAAATATATGTACATTTTTCAGAAATGTATTGTTAGTTCTGTCTTGTCAGAGACAAAGGGTTTTGTTTTAATTCCGGTTAAAATGGAAATCCTTTGTATCCTTGAGGAAAACCCTCAAATTTCATGTTCATTGCAGTTCTTGATTGTTTTATTGTGCCATCCTATTCTTCCAAGTCTCTTTTTCTTGTTATCCAGAAAGCTTCTTCCTTGTGCAGACAGATGACACTTGTTACATTTTTTAATTACAGAATGCATTATGGAAAAACAAGCAACTTTTCAGTTCTAAGAGCTGTACAATGCTGTCATTAGAAAAAACTTACATAAGTGGATACCATAGTCTTCATCCTACTTCATTACAAAAGAAACAGCAGCAGCATGATCATGATTTGTTTTGTTCCTTCATCCCTTCCTGATTTCTAGCATTCTTTTCTTTCTTTTTAATCTATATTGAGTGCATAGTATGATTCAGCATGCTTTTGCACAGTGGTAACCAAAGCCAGAACCTCCAATACTATATGTATGTAAAGCTGAGATTATGAGGGGCTAATGATGTTTTGAATGTTAAAAAAGGCAGGCAAAATCAGGCTAGACAAATATGAAATGATACATGTGAAGGAAATCGGTGACAGGGAGCATGATTAGCTTAGTACTGCCAGCAGACTTTGCTGCTGTGCTGTGAATTGTCTTTTCCAGGTTTTTTCTAGTTTATTGAACAGTGCAGGCCCATGGACAGATGCCTCCACCATGAAAACTGGCCTTAGGCTTCTGATTTTTAACCGTTATTTATCTTGTGGCAGTTCTTATAGTTCCTTTAAAGATTTCCTGGTAAGGGACCTTGCTAACTTACTTTCTGGAATGGATAGAGTCTGGACAACTCATCTCTGTATAGTTTTTACTACCTAACAATTTTTTGGTTCTTTTTTTAAAAAGAACCATGCTGACTTCTCCCAGTAAGGATTGTTTAAATGGGTACTTTGTGAGCTACAGAACAGCACAAGAGTGCATTGTAGTTTTGGTGGGGTTTGTGTCTATGTTGCTTTGTCATTTAAAGCTGAGAAAAGCACACCTCTTTTTTTACTCTGATAAACTGAAAATTACAAGGAGAAAATAACTCTGCACTAGTTAACGCTTGACTTTGTCAACAAAAGTTATGAACTAACCTAAAAATCTGTAAATGAGACATTTAATTGACTGTTTCTACAAAACCCTAGAAAATCCATTATTCTGCATTTAATAGGTTCTTGTAGGATAATGCTTTGGTGTTATCAGTAGCTAAGTTTTGAGGCAAACCTTACATTTTTAGGAAACCCTCTAAATATTGATAGGTATCAGTGAATTAAATACTCCACTCTTAGTTACTTTTCCCTTGCAAAGACTTTAACAATTTTCATGTATTTTCAGCTATCCACTGTGCCCAAAAGAAGGAAACATTATTTTACCAAAAAATTAAACCAACAGTTGCAGTCTATCTTGTGTAATGTAAGATTCTCAATTTTCAGCAACTAATTGAAAATATTTCAAGAGGCTGCTCTGTCAAAACAGTTCAACATTCAGTGGTTCCTATTGAATGTCTTCCAGATTGCCAGTTCAAACATTTTAGTTTTTCAACTCTTTAATGCACCAAATTAGATAAAGTATTTAGACAAACTACAATCAGCTAAAGGACTGCATTTAGTATTACTTCCTCCTTTGTTAGCTTTGATAAATGTAGTTGTCATCAGCTTTTCTTCAAAGTTTTTCTTCTCAGACCATATAAGCAACACATTGGGTAGATATAGAGGATCAGAGGAGAAACATCTCATACATTAGGACTTCTGTAATACACAGAATGCATTTGCTGTACATTAAGCAAAACTGTATCATCACTACCTCTTTTTGCCCTTTTGATCTATAGGGGAGAGGAATTGTCTACTTAACACCCTTCAGCAAATGCTGAATTATCAGTATTTTACACTCAGAGGGTATCATAGATTTCTCTGCAATTAAATAATAACATATATTACTTTTACTTAAGCTTTTAGATGCCATAAACAAGGACTGTGGGGTACCACTAAATCAGTTACAGGTAGACGGAGGAATGACCAATAATAAAGTCCTCATGCAACTCCAATCAGACATTCTCTGTATTCCAGTAGGTAAGATGAAATTACAACTCCTGTTCACTTTTTAAAGCTGAAAAAAAATTGATATGTCATGGCTAATGTGTCACTGCACATTAGGACATTGCACAGTAACATCAGGATATTATTCATCTTTGTACTGAAGACTGATAATTTGCTTCATAAATGTAATAATCTGCCTCATATGCAGCTTCTAGAAAATAATTTAAAAAACCATTGTGTTGTCTCTTACGCATAAATGTGAGACACTTCATGGGAAAGTTTTTAACTCTAGAAGTATTATAGCTTGCCTTTAATAATATGTAATGCACAAGGCTCATGCTGTCCGTGCAGAGCCATAGTTCATAGCAGATGAAATGATACAATCAGAAACAGATTTTAAAGGATCCCCTCTGCCTTAAGCAGAGAAGCAGGCAGTTCTGGAGTTAATGGAACAGAGTTAACATTTGACTTCTTGGGGGTGGGATGGTCATATCTGTGGAAGGCAAACAAGCTAGTAATACAGCAATTTGTAGCCTCTTTTAAGATGCCTTTTCTTAATATAAATGCTTTTAATAACACAATATCTAGAACATGGAAACAAGACTGGTAACAGCCAGTGACCACTGCTTTGAGAAGGGAGGGAGAAGATAAAAAGATAGTGTATTTTTAACAGGAGCACTCTAGGGAAACTGATGGCTGAGGTCAGCAGCCCTGCATGTGTTGTGAAAATGGGCAATTGGATGATTCAGTCTTAAATGAAGTAGTGATCTGAGATATTTCAAAGACTTGGACGACTTTGGATGAAGTTAGCCTCGTAACTGTGTGAATTGTAATAAAATGAGGCTTGCAGTTGCTAAACTTAAAGTAAGCATAGATGCTATATCGTTCTAGATACATATGTAAATCTTTAGTTCCAATGTCATCAAGGTGACTTTCATTAAAAATCTTCATGGCATTCTCTGTGATTTACTTCAGTAAAGCCATCAATGCCTGAAACAACAGCTCTAGGAGCTGCTATGGCAGCAGGAGCTGCAGAAGGAGTTGGAATTTGGAGTCTGAATCCTGGAGATTTGACAGCAGTGACATGTGAACGATTTGAGCCACAGATCAACCCAGAGGGTAAAATCCTTTCATATTACCTAAGAAGTCACAAACTTAATGTTCTGTGTCCAGCAGATCATGTTTTTTTCTTTGTTACAATCTAACATACTGATACAAAACCAGCTATGTATGAATATCCTCACAAATGTTAAAGATGAGCTTTTTTGTAGTGTTCAGTTTAGAGAAAAGTGTGTTTCAGTTGCTGTTATGTCCCTTTATTGACTATCAAGATTGCAAAATGATTAAAATAACATAACTCCACAGGGGAATATGTTGGGGTTTTCTATTTCTTTATTTTGAAAAAAGCTTGGCATTGGGCATTGGAGTTAGTAGCTTCTGATTTATAGCAAGTAGAATTAAAGGTTTTGAAGGTTTGAAAGGTTTTTATGGAGAAAGATGTCTCCTAAAGCTCCTGTACATCTGTGAGTTTTTACTGGTTGTGGGACACTTTTCTTTTGGCTTTAAAAAGCCTACATTAATCGTTATTTTTTAGCTAGCTATCTTCTTCATCAGTTCGTAAGTGCTTCTAGAGATGGAAAGCATGTACTTGACATAATTAATCTGTGTGCAAGACAAATGCATTTTTGTCTTTTTAAATTATTTCTTAACTTCTAGTGCAGAATTTTGTCTTATCATTGATTATCATTACTGCTATAATCCTTACTTCAAGACAGTTTTTTCAACACTGAAAGACTTCTACATGAATAGCAATTGCTTCATTTTGTCCTACTTGTAAATCTTCTTATTGTGAAAATGCAGATAATTGGTTTTAAGGTTTATTTCTCCTTACTGTACATAACTGGGGGGCTTTGGGTTGTTTTGTTTTTGGTTTTTTATTCATTATTTTTCTATACAGACAAACTATACTGTGCAAAAGAGTGGAAAACTAATATTGTAGTCTTTGTTTCATAAATACTTCTAGTTGTATTTATATGCATTGAGAGGCTTTTCTGTTTGCTGATTTCTCAATTTCAGAAAGTGAGTTTCGCTTTGCCAGATGGAAGAAAGCTGTGATGAAATCTATGGACTGGGTGACATCTGACATTTCTTCAAATGGTAAACCAGAAATTAATGCTAGTCAAGTATTATTTAATTAGCCTATTAACCTTGGTAGTTGATCTTCATTCTGGTGGCTGTTTCTGTTCATACCATCTCTATGGTATTTTTGGACTATTCCAGTGATTTTAAAATTACTACTTAAAACCACTGCACAAGCAAAGCAGGAAAATTGATAGGTAGGTCTTTTTCTTGAAAGGAGAGCACAAGCAATATCTTGTAGGGCTCTGAAAACAGAGGACATGAAATCAAGACTAACTACAGGTTTTGCAGAATGGCACTGATTTACAAAAGTAAAAAAAAGGGACCTGGAATAAGAGATGCAGCACAATTCTAAGACAGTGCAGGGATTCTGTAAACTTTCTTACACTAAATCATCGTGTTGCAAAGGAGAAAAGGTTCATCTTGTGATTTTTCTTGATATATCCTGCCTTTATTATTTGCTGTGTGGGAAGGAGGGATTGATAGCTACATCAAAATCTGTTTGCCCCAGAAGGCCTAAGAGCAAGAAGTTGTCATAAAGTGAAAAATTCCATAGTCCTGTTATTCACACACAGAGAATATACCAAACACTTTTGAGGGACTGAACAAGTTCTTTCTTTGGAAGTAGACAGGGTTTTCATCTGCCAGGTTTGAATTAAATAAAACCTGCAGTCTTCTATTATCTATAATTTGAATTTATATTTCAGCACTATTTCAGGATAAGATTTTTGTCCTGAATCATCCTACAACACATCATTTATGGCTTTATCTTAATTTAATTTCCCTTTTGTTGGAAAACCTGTTAGAATGAAAAGTGTTAAGTAAAGAATCCTCAAAATGTAAACTCCCCCCACAATCCACAGATGAAGCTCTCATGCTGCATGAATTCTCTTTCTTATATTCTTGAAAGCTAAAGCTACAATTTTCCTTTCACCATCCTAAATGCTTAAGCATTTCATTTAACTCTATGGGAAAAGTTATTTTCCTTAGTTCTTCCTTTGAAACTGTCTTCTGCTTGCTGAGAGTATTGAACATTGAAGACTATTAAAATGGGCTCAACCTAGGTAGTGCTAACAATGGAATTTGGATTTCAACTTTTATACTGAGAGACTGTTTTGAGTTATTGTGGGGAGTATAAATAATCCTTTTTAGTTTTTCTGCAAATGTCACTACATTTATTACGTTTTGCTGTTAGTATGATTTCTAACTCATACATTGCAATTTATGTATATATATTTCTCTTTTGATTTGCTTGACTGGATACACCCTACCCTGGATGACATCAGGTGACAGTAGTATCTTCTCTAGTCTGCCTTTGGGTCTTTATATTATGAGTAGCATGATAATGTTAATCGGAGCAAAGTACATCTCAGGTTAGTTATTGTTTGAACTAGAACCTTTTAAAAGCTATCTACACTAGATCAAGTGTTGGGGGTTTTTGTATTCCATCTATTTATTTTTAGCAAAAATGATGCTTTTTGTTGTTCATGCACACGAGTGTTTGAGGGTGTGAAGTAGATACCTACGGGAACCAAGGGAATGCCAAATTCATCCTCATGTGCCATGAAATTCTTAGCTGTTGATGCACATGAAACCTTGAACTCTCCCTTCCGTTTGTCTAGCTATGTGGACCGTACAGTTTATAAAAGGCATATAGGTTGGAGCAGAGTTTTGCACTGCCTGAATTACAGTGTGCACTGCAGTTAGAATAAGGTTCCATCCTTTATCCTGTATTTCTTCTCATAACATTTAAAATCATTTTGAGGCTCTTGTTCAAATAAAATGAAAACTTCTCCTCTGTCCTTGAAAGGCTTCAAGTACCTCTTTCATTTTTCTCATCCCCTTGAAACTATTGTATGGCTAGAAATCCTCATCTACTAAATCTATACAATATACTTTTTGTACTTTGCTCTTGATGGATAAATTAATTCAATTTGTGTAAACAGAAGAGACCCTAAAAGGCCTATCTGCAAAACTGGGGAAAGGAACTGTGTGCATATGCAATGAAGATGCATCTTCAACCTATTAATGTGTTTTATGTTAAAAGTTCTTAATATGGATGCCAGTGTTAGTTACTTATGCCAGAAGTAAGATATTTCATTAAGAAATTCTTATGGTAAGAAAAGGAAGTTTATATGGTGATGTCATTTGTTTTTTGTTGTTGTGTTTCATAATTTCATTACAAATAAAATATTTTACAGTATAGTCGTTGTTGCTGCTTAGTAAGCTTTTTGGAGGGGTGGTTTAGTTTTATTTCTTTGTTTCGGTTTTGGCGGGATGGGGTGGGGGGACTGTTAATTAAGCAGACAATTGAGGACTCTAGCATGCTCCTGTGATGATGTGTTTGTATTTTGTTTCTATGCATTCAGCCTGAATTAACTGTTCAATTGTCATTTTTCTTGCATGGAAGAGACTGTCTGAGCTTGTAGGAGAACTAAAAACAAACTAAACAAATGCTAGGCAAAAATCAAGCTGAACAAATGGATTGACACTGATTTACTAACTGTGGAATGTGTCTGTGAATGAGAACAGTCTGATTATGAAAAATAAAATAAAACCAGCTGTGAATAGTGGGTAAATTTTTAACAAGCTGAACTCAGCAGTTTGAATATTAATTCGAGGTCAGAGTCTTCACCACATGGAGGATACCTAAAATAATAAGTTCAATGTTAAGTGGGCAGATAAGCAATTTAAATTCTGAGTTTATCGCTTTTTTAAAACAATTAATCAGTAACCTGCATATAAATATCTAAACTTGAACTGCTGGAATGCATAAAGTTTTGTTTTTTCTCCCTTCCCTGAGCTGATCAACGCCTTTCTGACTCACAAGTGGAAGCCATACTCATATCAAGTCACTCTAGCCTTCAGAACCCATTTTTGCAGCTGTGTTCAGATAACAATAACTTAATAACAGTAAATTGATAAAAGATGTATATATATAATTATTATATACACCACTACAGTTACTTTATATACCAGTATATTGTTATATTATTTACATGGTAAGCCTGGGGACAGGAGAAGTTGCCAGAAATTTCCAGCTCTGAATTGTTTTAAAAATTATGTCTAAAAAGGAATACCACCAGTGATGCTATGTAGAGGTTGTAGTTTTGCTCAGCTGTGTGTTAGGGTAGAACATGATAAACAGAATTTGTGTTGCTGGTTGGAGCAGGGCTATTTCCCCTGCTCTGGTAAATATCCTTTTGCTTTAAAAGCTGGATCTAGCTGACCAGGCTTGCCTTCTAATTCGCTACAGGAGCACCATTAATTAATTTGTTATTTTTTTATCTTTTAATGAAACACTGGATCTCCCAACGCAGTCATCAGTTTAGTAGGTTTGAGGATTGAACCCACTGAGGATTGAATTCATCCTTCATGTGCTGAAACAGCAGTAAGTCTTGCATGGCAGCAGTGCTGTTGTTGTTGAGCGTGTCTCTGTAGGGCAGCGGCATGATTTAACAGTTACTGAAATGTGAAGGAAGAATCTGCTGTGGCAGAACAGAGAGCACTAACATGGGAAAAACCCGTTTACAGAATTGCTAAACTAACTGTCTTTTCATGCAGCACCTGATGACTGAAAATGAAGAATACTGCATTTCATGTTAACATTTCATGATTTCATCAAAATTGGCTCATTTACTTGTACCTTACTTTATGATATTCTTTCTCCTTCTCTCCCAGGGGAGAAATGGCCAATGTTTTGTTTTATTTCACTATTAAGCAAGTTGTATGTAGCAACTGGAGTCCTTATGCTAAGATTGTTAGGTTTTTTCACAGTAGTTTTGGAAGTGGACATCTGAGAGCTATAGCTGTACCTTTTTTGGGGGTGGGAGTTAACTGAAAGTTATGCTATATTTTATTAGACTAAAAAGAAATGCCTTTGCATGCTTAAATTGACATCTCTCAAGTGAGGTGTAAGTGGAGACTGGCTATGTACAAGATCTTATGTGACATCTGGGGTAGAAAGTTCTTTGACTTTATTGTCACAGAACAAGGTGTCAGTGCTGATAATAATACTACATTATTCCTGCTTAAATACCCTTTAGGGTTATTTTTAAAGATTCTGTTTTTCCTTTTTAGTTTCTTGTGCTGTGACAGTTACTGCCAAATTGCATGCTAGTTTACACATAGCAACAGCTATGTGCAACGTAGCAACAGCTATGCAACAACATAGCAACAGTCTATGCAGTTCTGCAGGTTCATAGACTTAAACTTACTGCATTCATAGAATCACAGAATGGTTCGGGTTGGAAGGGTCCTTAAAGAAGCCTTAGTTGCAATAATAGTTCCCAAATTTTGGAAAGCTGAGCTCATATTCAGGAAAAAAAATAAGCTTAGAGTACCTTCCGTCAATTCTTGTACTTGTTAAAAATTTACCCACCGTGTGTGGTCTCTTCTACTTTATTCACATCCCACACATGTAAGTGCTGGCTTATCTGATGTCACAAGATACATCTAATTTATAATTGCATTAATTGGAAAATAAAACGTTATTATACCGAATTCTTCTTATAGCTCAGCTGTGTTAGAGTGTTCTTAATGTTTTAGAATAAATTCTATGTTACTGATGCATGTTCTTTCTTGTTTAAGGTAATGGTAATTGAGACCACTTAGCGGACTCTCTGGATGCAGCTGATTTTTTTTTTTTGTTTCTTTTTGTTTTGTTGTCTGAAGAGATTCCACCACCAGTGTGATTATACTGTTTGTATGACTAAATCCACTCATGAATCCATCTGTTGCCATTCTCTGAGTAACATCCCCGTGGTACACTGAAACATAAGTCTTCAGCCCTTCATTGCTCTGCTCCCTTCCCCGTCAACTCCAACTGCACTGGAGGCCTTTGCATCGACTATGTTACATGATCCTCTAAAATTTCACAAGGCCTAGCTTTGAGAAAGTGGGTACAAAAAACACTGCAACTTGTGAGTAATGTCAGATGTTTAGCTGTCCTTTCAGGGTTTTGATTCTTTATACAGCACACTGCAGAAGGTTAATGATGCACTAAAGAACTTTGTAAACATCACAGCAATTCTTCCAGCTGCTGTGAATTACCTTTTATATGTCTATGGTTGCCAAAGATTTTCCATTGTAGTGACCACTGGTCTGAAACACCTTCAGTGCTACAAACCTTTTAAACACCAGCTGAAAACGTATTACCTGTTGCACACCGCCACCAGTTTGGCGATGAAGAGGTTGCTGATGTGGTCCGCAAAGTACTGTTGAAATGATCAATTACAAAGTTTAAAAGTTTGTTTTGGCTTCTGTAGGTAGTCAGTTTACCCCTTATGAGTATTTAAGACAGTAGTTCCTGTAGCTGTTCCTTTAAAAGAGGTAGGAGTAAGTAGGTGTTTTTGTTAAGGCCATGTTTTACATTCTTGCGCTTTTCTGTTAGTTGGAAAGACAAATTTGATATGTCATGTTGATAGGACAGCTTCTTGGCCCTCAGCCCAACTGGTAACTTAAAACTACTGTGTACAATGCACTTCTGTTGATCAATACTGCATATATTCTGTCATCCTGCTTAAGGATATTTTAGTGACTATTCACTAAACTTTTGAAAGTTGAAGCTAACTTAGTTTTCCTTAAAGAGGGTCCACTTCAAATTAAGTATTAGTGCTTTAGTTCTTGGTCTCATTTAGTAGTATCTCAGGGACCAAAATCTCCCTTTCAGTTTTCACATCCATGGTTTTAATAGCAAGTTGTTGCAAAATTTGCTGGGGCAACCTAAAGTGCACTTAACACCTGAAATGGGCCACTGGAATTCACGGGCAGTGTGCATGACAATTGAGTTGCATCCCCTTTGAAACTTTTTTTCCTCCACAGGTAAAAGAGTGAGGCAATAAATCATTTTATCTTCAGCTTTCCTGTTTGTACCAACAGCATGACAAATGCCAGCCTCACTGGTTAGGTCAGAGAAAATGTGTCCTTGTCTAGTATCATCAGATCAGTATAGAATGATAGCAAGGTTAAATGTGGGAACAACACAAAGAATTTCAAAGAAGTGTTTAAATGCACTAGGAGTCAAAGGGAGCATTTCTCTCTGTGTTTGTTCTTAAAGAGTTTTGTCTTTAAAAAGAAATAGTCTTTAGCAAAGTTCATTTTTTCTTTGTTAAACTATGCTTAGAGGCTTAGTTTTTTAAAAGATGTTAAATATACATGTGTCTGAAGCAATGGATTGCACAGAAGTTCAGGTCTGTATAATATATTTAATGTAAAATGCATAATTGCCTTTCTATTACCAAGTGCAATGACCTTTGAAAATGTGACTTTTAATTCAAAAGGTAGAGAAGGAACAGTTTTCATCCTGTGGTTGCATGTATAAATTCAACAGAGGGAATTCTTGTGCACAGGTGAAAATGTAACAACTTCATTGAAACCCTGCATCTCCTGTAAATACTGAAATGTGAGGTTTCTCTGTTCAGCTCCTCTAGCTTTCTGTGGATTTCCCATTGGTTTCCTACCTTTGTTGCACACAGATGCATGCCAAGAAGTTACAGCTCTAGTGGAGGATTCCTGCCTGTGGCAGGGAGGTTGGAACTAGATGATCTTTAAGGTTCCTTCCAACCCCAACCATTCTATGATTCTGTGATTCTAACTGAAATTTCTGGGTTTCCCAGTTTTTATTAGAGAGAAAGAGTGAAAAAAAAACATGAAAATCTTTATACTCCTTACCTTTACTCTGAGCTGTTGCTGATCCCACCTCACCCTAAGGGACAGGAGTAACAGCAGCTTTTGGAGCACATAGGGTGAGAGCAGCACACATCTCAAGCAGTGGACTTCCAAGTATGACCTCTTGCCAAAAGCAACAAAGTATTGAATCTGGGAATGACTGATGTTGAAGTTTTGCCTTTGCTGACGGTGTATGTGGCAGGGGGAAAGGTAGCACATAGTAAGCAGGAGAGGGGGGGTTTGCTGCTTTTATGACTTATCTTTTACTGGGAAACACAATTCCTGTTAGTTTTTCACGGAGTAAAAATCATAATTTTGTTTTCAATTGCTGTTGCAAATATTTTTAAGAATTTCACACCACTGTTAACTTTCTACCAACATAGTTGAACTATATTGTAAATTGCATGTTGGCAGGAAGGGGACAAACTGTTGAAAATTAGCTTTTTGTGAAGCTGTGATTTATTTTTTTCTATAAATAACCAATTTCTAAATTTTTACTTGAGAAATGCATTAACTTGGTATTAAAATACCACAAATAAATTGATGTAAGATGTTGTTTTATTCTTGCATGTTCTCTCTCAGATGCATTTTCATCAATGTTTTCTACATGAGGCATCAGTGTACTTTGACATATGTTCAAAAAAGAGCTCCCTCATTCAATGTTATAGACACAAGCCACAACTTGCTCAGATACACACATTGCCTATGTGCAGTACTGCCCTCTGCTTTTCAGTGATATATTCCGTTTCAAGGATGCGATTAAAAGTTACATTTCCTCAAGTCCCTCCATATTCAGGAAAAAAGCAGCAAAATACAAGTAAAACGACAAGAAAGACACCATTGTAACACAGGTTTTACCCAAAAGCCTTGAACGTCATTGCAGTAAACAGTAGCATAAGGTATTCCTGTTATTTTAAGAAAGAAGCATGGCGGTATGTATATATGTGAAGGGCACATATGTGTGTGCCTGGTTCTTGTTTGTTCATCTCTTCATAGCTCCCAATTATATTCTGCACATCTAGTGCTGTCTAATTGTACCAAAGATACGGCCTTCATCCATAGTCTTTAGTCTCCTATATCAAAATCAGTTGTGTCAGTCAGAAACACACCCGACCCCACGCCCAAAAAGGCGGCAATTAAATATCATATCAGCACAGCAGCCTTTGCTAATATGTTATTACTTAATATCAGACTTCTCCCACTGCTCCTGAGACTCCTGTGTCTTCCTTTCACATGGCAAAATTACAGCCTGGCCCTTAGCCATGCTGCAGAAGGGCATGCTCAAATTTCAAGATTCATCAGGATGGAATATAATGAGATTAGAACTTTATTAACGTAATCAGTACTGAAAAATTCTATGTGAAAAGAAGTTTTGTTCAATGAAAGCTAATACAGTGTCTAGTCTGTTGTTGGAACTCTATACAGGAAAACTTCTTGTCTGTATGTCTGTGTTGGCATCCAAGCCATAATCTTCCCATCTAAAGAATCCTATGTCTGCAGCAATTGGAATGCTGTCCTGTTATGAGCTGCAGCACAGGGCCAGTACCTTTTTTGAATTTTTTTAATTATAAGAATTAACTGGCATTCATGGAAGTAGTAGTTGTTAGTCCTAGAGATAAGGATAGGCAAATGAGTAGCAGCCCTTAAAATCTCAGAAATGGCGCAGGAACACTCCCAGAATGATTTTCCTGTGCCACTTAAAGGGATCTTGACAGGCTGGAGAAATGGGCTGGCGGGAACCACATGAATTTCAACAATGGAGGAACAACCCCAGGCACTGGGACATGGTGGGGGCCAACCCGCTGGGAATCAGCTTTGCAGACAAGGTCCTGGGAGTCCTGTTGGACACCGAGTTAAACATGAGGCAGCAATTGCTGCAAAGGTGGCCAACAGCACCTTGGGCTGCGTTGCCAGCAGGTCAAGGTAGGTGACCCTCTTTAAAACCAGACCTGGTGAGGTACATCTGGTGTGCTGGGTCCAGCATGAGAGAGGCATAGACCTATAGTAGGCCACAAAGAGAGTTAAAGGACTGGATATCCATCATATGGAAGAAGCTGATTGATCTGGGACTGCTCAGTTTGGAGAGAGCTCAGGTGTCAATACCTGATGCAGAGTAAGGCGGCCATGAAGGCAGACCCTTCTCAGTGGTGCCCAGTGGCAGGACAAGAGGCAACTGACCCAAATTGACACACAGGAAATCCCATTCAAACAAGACATTGTTTTGCTCTGAGAGTGGTCACGGACAGGAGCAGGTTACTCAGAAAGGTTGTGATCCCTCAAGATACTCGCGGCTCTGGTGTCACCGACCCTGCATTGAGCAGGTGATTGAATCAGAGCTACCCTCCTGACTTAACTGGTCTGCAACTAGGTCAGCCACAACTTGTATCCAGCACAGGCTGAAGGCTTGAGCCACCTAATAATGAAGGGCAGGGAAAAGGCAACAATGGTTTATTTAGACAAAACCAGTCTGATTTGTATGAACCAGTTTTCACCCAGTGTTGTATTTCAGCATTATTCATCTGGCATTATTACAATGTTTCCCTATGTGTGTATTTGCTTTAGAAGTCAGCCCTGTTGTGCAGGCTTATTATCTGACTTGTTTTAAGAGATTATCTTTTAAGCAGTTGCAGTGGGAGTTTAAGTAGAGTGACTATTTTTCAGATTGTTAATTGCTTTAGTCTAATACCCTGTTTTTTCAAAGGGAATTATGACACAAGGTGCTTCAAAGCAGCCTAAAAGACAAGATAACATGCTTCCAAAGAGACCACAGTTAAACTGTAGCTAGCAAAACCTGAAAAATGGGCTCATTGAGTTTTTGTGAATAGAAAACGCTGGTTTGGGAGTGAGTTCTTTCTGTCTTGCGGTGCTTTTTCTTTAAATCCGCGGGCTGATATTCTGGGTGTTTCCTCCTCTGGCAGTCACTTCTTTTGGAGGGATCTCCCACATCATTGCTTTTCAGTTCTGCAGGGATGGAGCGTTCCGAGAACTGAAGATCCAGCAGCTCTAGCTTCCTGATCCCCAGATACACTTCCTGGGTCTTGTGCAACTAGAGAAGAGCTTGCAGACAGGACGGCATTGATGTCTGGTTGTCACTGTCTAAACAAGCATTTTCCCTCCCATCTCTAAGCCATTACAGTTGTCTTCCATTTGTTTTGGCAACAGCATGGGTTAGTCAGCATGCTCAACAGCACCCACATTTCCTATGCTACTTCATGAACAGCTTCAGGAGGTTTGAGTTTATCACTTCAGCTATTTTTGCTAAGTTTTCTGACACTAATCCTATCCGTCTTTCTTCTCTATGTTGTCTGGCAAGTGAACACATTACTGAAAACCTGCCATAGACCTTACTGTTCGATACAGAGGAACTCAGGATTCATTAACTGTTTGTCATTGCATTTTTTGAGCACAGAAATCCTTTCTGTATTACTCTTATATGTCTGACAACAGGAGTCAGCTTACAGTTGAGAGGGTACATAACACAGATATTAATGCCCTCCCCTCATGATGTTTCACCATTAACATCACTTTGTTCTGCAAATACTAAAGCCAAGTGCTGCCCCCATTATGAAGGAAGGTTACTTGAAAAACTGTAAATGGCCTCAGTGTTTATCTGCTTATAACTGGAATCTAAGAAGCCTTCCGTGGGCAGCATTTTCTGGAAATGAATGTACCAGAGCTGCTTGCCAACCTTGATTGATTTTTTCAGGAAGAATTGATTCTTCAGATGTACAATTCTGAAGAACTGACTCTTCAGCAGAAGAAACTGCTTTAACAAGAAGAGAAGCTTCTAGAGCTCTCGCAGGACAAATACTGGAGGCATCAGATATTCTTCAAGTTGTTTGGCTTTGCTTAAGGACAATGTGGAAAAGGGGGGAGAGTGACCTATCTGGAATGTGCAAGAAGCCTGTCTTCATCGTGAAGCAAATATGAGATGATAACTTTAATATTGTTCTCTAAATAATGATTGTTGTGTCTCAGTTAAACTTCAAAACATGTATTATTAAGTCTCTTTAAGGCATTTTCCATCCCCCACCCAGGAAATAGGTTTGTATTACCCACACAAGCTATTCTTATTTAGGTTCTTTTATTCAGTCTTCAACAAGGTGCAAAACACTTCATGTGCAACATGATACCTCTATTCCATGACCCTCTAATACATAAGCCTGAAAATAAATGAGTTTTACCTTAC